GTACTGGCATAAAGGCAGACAAGTGAACAAATGGAACAGAATAGCAAGCCCAGAAGCAAATCCAGGCACGTGTGGTCATCTGATCTTTGACCAGGGTGCCAAGAATATGCAATGGGGAAAAGACAGTTTCTTCAACAGATGGTGTTGGGAAAACTGGATATTCACATGTAAAAGAATAAAATTGAACCCTTATCTCCCACCATTCACAAAAGTCAAGTAAAAATAGATTAAAGACTTAAGCATAAGACCTGAAACCATAAATCTCCTGGAAAAAAACATAAAGGAAAAAACTTCCTGGAATTGGCTGTTGGAATAATTTCTTGGCTATGATACCAAGAGTGTAGGGAACAAAAGTGGATAAAGGGGATATCATCAAACTAAAATGCCTCTGCATTGCAAAGAAACAGTTAACAAAACAAAGTCATATGCATAGTGAGAAAAAAATACATCAAATAAATGATTAATGTCCTAAAATACAAGGAACTTCTAACACTCAATAGCAAAAATATGAATAAATAAATAAATAACCTGATTTTTAAAATAGGTAAAAGACTTGGATAGACATTTCTCCAGTGAAATTGCACAGATGGCCAATAAGTATACGAAAGGTAGCTCAGCATCTGTAAACATTAGGGAAATACAAATCAAAACCACAATAAGATATCACCTCATACCTGTTGGGATGGCTATTATCAAAACACAAAACATTAAAGGTGTTAAATTGAAGAAAAGAGAAGCCTGTGTCCTGTTGGTGGGAATGTAAATTGAAAAACAGTATGGCTGTCCCTCAAAAACTACAAATAGAACTGCCATATGACCAGCCATCCCACTTCTGCATGTATAAAGAAAAGAGTACACAATAGGAGCTTGAAGAGAAATCTCCACTCCCTTCTTCATTACAGTACTCGTCACGATAGCCGAGATGTGGAAGCAGCCTGAGTGTCCAATGATGGATGAATGGATAAAGAAAACTGTATGCACATACAATGGAATATTGCTCAACCTTAAAAAAGAAACCCTGCCATTTGCAACAAGATAGATGATGGAGACATTATGCTAAATGAAGTAAGCCAGACACAGGAGGACAAATACTACATGATCTCACTTACTATGAAGAATCTGAAATAGTCAACTCATAGAAGCAGAGAGTAAAACAGTGGTTGCCTAGAGAGCAGGACATGAGAAGGTATTGGAAAAGAGCTATGAAATTTCAGTAATGCAGGCAGGTTCAGTGGTTCTTAACTGTAATTCCAGCTATGTGGAAGGCAGAGGATCACAGACTGATGCTAGCCTGGGCAAAACATCACACTATGTGAAAAATAGCTGAAGCAAAAAAGGTTGGGGGCATGGCTCAAGTGGTAGAATGCCTGCCTAGCAAACATAAGGCCCTAAGTTCAAATCTCGGTACCACCAAAAAAACCCACCAAGTTTCAGTAATGCAAAATTAACAGATCCTAAAAATCTGCTATGTACATATTTCCTATAGTTAGCAAAATATATTGTACACTTAAATTGTTGCTAATAGGATAAACCTTATGCTAAGTGTTCTTAGAACAAAACGATAGCAACAATAACAAGGAAAGCAAAAGGAAGTGTTTGGAGGGGATGGATTGGCATTGTAGGGATGACTTTACGGGCAGTCTTGTTCCAAACTCATCAAGCTGTACACTTTAAATATGTACACCTTATTGTATGTCAATACCCCAATAAGGTGTTTTTTTTTTTAAAGTTAGGGAGCCTTCTATAATTATCACATGATACTTCTAGTACACATTTATTTCCTTCATTCAGTGTCCTTACAGGGGTCAATCCTATCAGTCCCATTTTCTGATGGAGGAATCCAAGGCTCAGAAAAGTTATTTGTCTTGTCCAGAGCCTTGTATTTTTTATAAAGAGAGCTGGAGCTCTGATACCAAAGCCTGTGTTCTTTCCACCAAGGCACACCATCTACAGCATCTTTAACTCTCAAGATTTCTTCCATTTCCACCTTCTGAATAGTTCTAAAATAGTGTGTGTGTGTGTGTGAGAGAGTGTGTGCGTGTGTGTGTGTACGTGTGTGTTTTGAGGAACAATGAATGGGCCCAACTGAGTGATAGTTGTGCATCTAGTACTTCACACAAGCCAGCATACTTTAGGCAAGGAGCACTGGCTTCTATTTAGTTGGGAAGGGTGGATGGGGCCAACTGGACGTGAATGTGTATTTGCTGACTAACTTAGTCAGGTAGAAGTGACAGGCTAACCTTTCCCCGGGATGTGTTCACCAACAATTTGTTGTTACAGCTCTCCTGGTCCTGGAAGCTCACAGTACACAGCAGTAGAGACATTTTCAAACCGTAAGGCCACACACATCTTTGTGTTAAGAAGTCTGGAAGTGAAGGAGGACAAAATGAGGAAAAGAGCACCTCAGTACCAACATGAAGATCTGAAATATAGTTGTAGGGAGTGGCTATTTCTACCTCTCTGGAGTAATACTCCAGAGAGCTACTCAGCTCTACTGCTCCTCCCACCTTCCCCACTGCCCCCCTACAGTGGAGGAGGTCAACTGATGGCCTGGCAGGGCAACAGAGCTGGCAAGTGCTGAAATCCAGTAGAAGCTGTGTAACAAGGACTGAGAGGCAGCTTTGGCTAAAAGCCCTAACTGTTCACTTGGGCCTGCAGATGCCTGATAGATAACTAAAAGCAAGATGAAAGCTCATCATCTCCACCTTCACCTTGGTCTCCTTTGCCTTAAACTTTGGGTCAGATTCCTGCTCAACATTACATGTAGACACACTAAAGAGTATCTGTCTAAAAACTGGTCATACAAGGTTGTTTAGCCAGAAATTCACCTAACCTCCATCTTCTCCCTTCTAGGCTGAAGGCACCAAGATAAAAGTAATTAAGGCATTTTCAAGATTTGTGGGCATGATAATCAACAGCTTATCAACTGCCAGCTTTATATTGTCCAGTTCCAGAACCCACTACCCCCCCCATACCCCAGAGTGGCACCTAGAAGCCTCCAGCTGTTTCCCTAAACCTTCCAGGAACAGTGATCCTTTAAGGAAGATCATCCCATAAGGAAACTGTCTCTGTTTGTGAGAGCAGTTACCCCTTAGTGGGGAACTGAGGCTGCCCTTCTAAGCAGGAACAATCATCTCAAGATGGGAACCAAATGGATCCCTCAAGCAGTAAGACTTCCTCTGAGTCATGCCAAACCAGACCTAAGATAATGATCAACCAGACCCCAGTTTGGTCAAGATTGCTTAACTGTTCAACCTCTTCCCCTGTATAACCTCAATCAGGGCTGAGGAAGCCTGTCCTTGTCCTTCCAGTAGGAATAGACTGAATATTAAATTCCTTTGGTACTTTGCCATTACTTTTTTTTTTCTTTTGTAACACACTTGTTCCAGGCCTGTTTTTTGAGACCCCTCCCCCAAGTCAGTACTCCTGGCCCATGACTCCAGCAACAGCTATGGTAGAAAATATGCCCTTCCCCAAAGAAACTGCAGCTAGCTTAGTGTGGAGGAGATACATAGAGGCACTGGTGTCCATCAAGAGTTCTGCAGCATGAGGAGGGAATTAATTTTGCAGCTTTTTTTTTTAAGTGTCACTGGAATATACTTGAAGAAATTAATAAAGCATTTCTTGATTTGTCTTTTTAACCTACTAGAAGTTCAATTTAGGTTTCCAGCATTGGTATTGTAATCCTATCCTGCAAGAAACTTTCTAGAAAGAGTTCCCGCCCCTAATTAAAAAAAAAAAAAAAAAGCCTTACAGTATCTTGAAGCGTATGGAATTCTATCACCCAAATACATGCCTGTAAAAACAGTTCATCCCAGTGAAACTCTTGATATCCTGGAAAGGAGTCTACGGGAAATCAACTGCTGAGCTGAGCACCTGCGTCGTCTATGCAGACATCCAGTGTAACTTTTCAAGACCCAGAACCCTGGTTTTGGGCACCGATTTTGACCTCAATCTCATGCAACAAAATTATTGGGCATCTGGAAGCTGGTGAATGTTGTTGGCGTACCCATGAGAAATAAATCAATCATGTTTTTTTTTTCTCGTTCTCTTGGGAGATATGTCAAATTTAATGTTCTACAGCACATTTAATTTCAAAATTCTTTCCTAAAATGTGTTCTTGGACAGTAATCACCAGTGAATCCTGATTTTACTCCCTCTTTGGAAGCGGTCGGATATTCCTTCGCACTTTTGCTTCCATAAGTAAATTACTCTAAATAAAAAAAACAAAGGACAGTGTAAGCTATAAACCACAAACGGGCATCTCGAAGTCCTCTAAGTTTTGCACAATCTTCGCTGCGCATTGTTTTTGGAAAGTTTCCCGCGGGAGGGGAGTTCCACTTTATGACTTGCTTTCCAGGGGAGCTTGGTCCTGGGAGAGGGAAGCCCAGCAAAAAGCGCCTACACCGCCATCCACCGGCCTCGAGAGGACGGCACCAGGAGAGGGGCGCGCGCGGCTGGAGCCCTGAAACCCAGTCCCTGCTGGATCCGACACGACACCCGCTCCCGCCTGCCCGCCCAGCCCGGCCTCTCCGCCTGCACCGAGAGGTCGGCTGGTCCCGACGCCGCGAAGCTTGGACCCTCACAGTAGCGAGCGGATTCCAGGCCCCTAAAGACGCTCATTTGCAGGTGGCTGCAAATTAGACTCAGTTCCTGCTGGTTCAGATCAGTGGGGACCGACCGTCCGCAGTGTCCTTCCCTTCCTTCCTTTTCCTTCCCGAGCCGGGGGCTATGCGATCTCTTCCCAGGACCGAACCCTAGCAGCTCGGAACCTGCGCCCCTGGCGCCCGGCATGCGGTGTGCACAAGCCGGTAACCGGCGCAGAGAAAGTTTGCTCGCAGGGGACCCAAGAGTTCCCAGCACTCTGCAAGCGGGCTGGTTTGGGGTGCCAACGCTCGGATGATCCCCGGGGACCCACTGATCTCCGGAGACAAGCGCACGCCCTGAGTGTAAGAGGGACCGAGACCGAGACGCGCGGTGGGGACAGGAGGGAGGCTTACGTCTGGGGCGGGCGAGGCTGCCGAGCAGTGCTTCCAGCTGCCGGGCGCCTGCAACGAGGGCGCAGGGAGGAATGCGGGGACCCTCAAGGGACTGGTTCCGACGGCTCCACCTGCAGCCTCCGCAGGCGCCCGCGTGCGGCCAGGTCCACCAGGTTTGTGGAGGGCGCCGGGCAGAGGAGGGGCTCTAGGGGAAAGGTGGCATGGCTTCTGGCAAGGAGAGCGGGATCTCCGGACGGAGCCTATTCGAACGCTGAAGGAGACCCTGCCCATGACCCTGGGAGGCTCCCTGGACCCTGGGCGATCCGAGTACTGAGGGTCGGCTGCAGGGCGCGACGCTGCGAAAGCCGGAGCTCACCGACGACTGGGGAGGAAGGTGGCACCCTGGGGGAGGAAGGAACGGGGGCGGGAAGGATTTACGCGGAATTCGCCTGGACTCAGAGGTCCTGCGACCTGACTGCGGGAGGAGCGCGGACTGTGGCTCTTACCGGCTTTGGGGCCCCGGCTCGGCGGTAGCGCTCTTCCGGAGCGAGGGCCAGGGACCGTTTCGTGAACATGTCTAAGTCCTCTGTCCACTCTTATCTTGGTCGCTTTTCTGTCCTCTATGTGTCCCTGGGAGAGGCACTACGGATTCCTTTCTCCTCTCTCAGAGACTGGTTGTACTTCAAGGGACAGGAGCCCCACATTTTGTTCGCTGGGCAGATCCCACCCGCGGACCACTCCCTCCCTTCAACTCACGTCTCTGGGTCCTACCCATAACCCTTAATGACAGATCCTCCACCACCCCACCTCTCCTTGCTTTTAAAGAAGTTATTCTTCTAAGGCAGATGGAAAGCCAAGGGTCTGTAGAGGACAGCAGCAAGAAAAGGACAAGATACTTTAGAAGAGTGGTTGAGATGAAAAAAGTTACTTTTCTCCAAAGTCTCCTTATGTCATCCTACACCATTTTCTTTTAGCCAGAAAGAAGCCAACCAAAAATACCTTAAATACCATTGCTTGGACAAAGGTATACATTTGTAAAAGTAAGGGATGGTAATGTCACTATTTTATTTCTGAAATGAGATGCAATGTAGAAAATACTGCATATGTATAGTGAAAGGGTTGGAGCCCTGATTCCACATTATCCTTACTTCAGATTTGGAATTCAGTATTGTAATTCACAAAAACTAACCTTAGTACATGGCTTGGTTTGTACTAAGTACTTTACATGCATTCTTTCTTTTACTTCTCCCAACTACTTTGAGATAAACAAGATTTGGGGAGCTGAAGCAGCCAGCCTGAGGTTAAGACAGCCAGCAGGTTGTGAGTTCAAGACTGGGCTCTTATGAGCTATTGCCTCATCTCACAGCATCACCACAGGACGCCTGTCTAGGAATTGAGAATTCAGAAGATCCACCTGCCAGCTCCAATGAGAGGGAGCAAGTCACCTCATGTAGTCTTTCTAGGACACAGTAAACTCAGTCCACGAAATGAGCACAGGTTGGATTCAATTGCCGAGGCTTCTACAAACATTCTGAAGCCATGGATTAATTCCTACTCATCTCTTTTCTTTTCTGCCCTCTGGTGGAGGTGCTATAGGAACTCTGAAATTACAGCGGCTAACTAGGGAATTTGAGATAGGCCAGGGTAAGACCAGTCTCTCTTGCTCCTCTACTGCTATACTGTGCTCCTCAGAGAACTAAAGCTGATTGCACTGGTAGTGTAAACAATCTTTACACTTCCTTTTAGCAAGGGAAGGCAACCAGTTATAGTTTCCAGAATGAATACTTGCGGTAGGTATTCTTAGCCTGAAGGTAAAATGAGGGTAAGCATCTATTTTTATATTCCTTGTAACAAACTTTTATAACGTAAGGAATCAAAAGTATTAGAAGTCTTACAATATACTCAAACTAACTTGAATATTCAGTCTGCTTGCAGCGATCTCTAATGACCTATTTGAATAATTCTTTCCAAAAAAAAAAAAAACTCGCCACACTTTCTATACAAGAATACATAATTTCGAAATCACCATAAGAAGGGGACAAAGGTAGAAAGGAGAAAAATGGAATGAACCAATTCAGATCATAATACATACATATATATGAAAATGTCACAATGCAACTCCCTGAGTGGCTAGCTATATGGGAGAACAAGAAGGTAAAATAGGTCCTGTCTGGGGGGGAGTTGATACCAGTGGGGTGGGAGAGGAGATAAGGAAAAGGTGAAGGAGGGTGAATGTGGTGGAAATACTATGTATTCTGTATGAAAATGGAAAAATCTGACATGCTGAAACTATTCCAGGATGGGGGAAGAGGGATAAAGGAGAATGATGGAGGGGTGAATTCAATTATGATATATTGTAAGAACTTTAGTAAATGTCACAGTGTACCCCCAGTATAACAATAAAAATAAATTTAAAAAAGAAAATCAAATTTGAAGGAAAAATAAAAGACATATGCAAGTTTGAGTCAAATATTTGCATATTTTAAGTTTTAATGTTTTGAAAATAGCTTTAACATCAAACCCAGATCTCCTAAGAAATATGCGTTTTCTTTTTCTTCCTAATTCCTATATCCATATAACAATGCTATTATAATTTAATTACTAAACTGAGTAGTGGAATGTCTATCTTTTTTAATGTGCTTTTCTGATTATACACCAACATTGATTGGTATAATATGGATCATGTATCAGAAACGAAATAAAATTCTTTGGGAACTCCTTACCAAAAAAAAAAAAAAAAAAAATTGTCACATTTGCACTTCCAACTTAATTTTTTCTCCCGGCGGTGGGAACTAATCCCCAGGGCCTTGCATTTGCAACTCTACCACTGAACTAAATACCTAACCCTTCAACTTATTGTAAAGTGACAGCCATAATCTAGTTTCATAAAACACATCATTTTTCAAAAACAAACAATCTGGCATTTTGAAATTTTTATTGTCTAAAATTTCAACCATATATCCAACTAGTTACATAATGATAAAGAAAAAACAAACATCAAGGGTACTTGTGGGAAATTAAAAGCAGTGAATATGCCTCTGGATAGGGTGATTTTATACAAAAAAACTTTGGTCACAAGTTATATTACCAACCAAAATAGTCCTTAGAACCACAAATGAAGGCAAGATGAGAACAAGAACGAGATTTCTTAGTGAAGCGTTCAGCATCCCACGATGATTGTAGGCAAGCAATGGCTAACATAGGTTTAGCTATTTGGCTATTTGTTCAATTCATTTAGGATGTGCTAGCTGCCAAATGAACAAAGTAGTTTGCGCCCTCTCAAAACCTTCAGTCTAGTGGAATAAATGAATACACAAATATGTAAACTATGGTAAAATACTTGCAAATAATGTAGGAACGGCTTTAGGGAGTTAGAATGTAAATCTTAGCAGAGAATAAACATGCAAAACTTTGTAAAAATTAAAAGAACAAAGCAAGAAATAGGTAAGCTGGAAATTTTCCAATTGCAGAGAAGGAAGAGTTTATTTATCTTCAAAGGGAAAAAAAAATACCCACCCCTACCATAATCTATTCTAGCCCAGTGAAGCATTCAGTATATGATAAAAATGACTGTATTGATGTTGTTTGCTGTACCTAATACTGTGGTACTTGAATCCCCTACTGTAATACACTATAATAAGCATTGGGGTAAAGGTAATGAGAACTGGCCCCAAAGGAAATTTCAAAGGAATTGTATTTTTAGTACTGTCATGAACCTAGTGCTACTCAGGGGCTCCCTACTGCAACTGGTCTGCTTCAATACTACCTTTGGCCATATCCTGCCTAGTCATCCCAAGATAGTGCCCCTCAATGACAGTGACCGCATGAGTCAAAAGTGAAAGGACTCAGTCACAACAGAATTTTTTTTCTGCCTGTGAGTCAATTTGCAAGAGAAGTCTTAAAGTTATAAGATTAAGTGACATTTATCTATATTATATTATAGCTAAGATTTTTTTAAAGCCTATGTGCCATGCACTTCACAAGTGATAGTTTCTTAAATTTTAATTCCTGAAACAAATCTAGATTACTGCAAAATAAGACTAGGCTCACCTTAGAAGACTGTTAAAGAGAGTGAATAAACATATAAAAATGTTTTAAAAGACCTGTGACACTTACTAGCTCAAATTCACTGTGATGAGTACTCACTCATGGTTTCTTCTCTTATTGCCACCATTTTACAGAATAGGAAACTGAAGGTGCATTACCAAAGGTAAAGAACTTGCCTAGTTCACAACTAGGAACTGGAAGAACAATTGGCACCCAAGCAATCTGGGACCACAGACTGATCTCTAATTCCTACTGCAGTTATTAAGAGAAGATGATGGTGAAAATGACTAAGTAGTTTACACTAGTATATCTAGGATTTCACTGTCAATGCATTAATTCAAGAAGTGTTTGAGCATTGTAATGGTTAGTGTCCCTACCCCCAAAACAATCAATGTCCACCCAAAATTTTAGAACATAAACCTCCTTATTTAGCATTAGAGCATTTGTACATGTAATTAGTTAAGATGAAATCATACTGGAATAGGAAGGACCCTAAAATCTAAAAAGGGTGTCCTTATAAGACAGAAAGCACACAAATGTGGAGGAGACTGAGATTGGAGTGATGAATCTGCAAGCCAGGAAATGCCAAGGATTGGTGCACCTCAAGCCAGGAGAGAAGCATGAAACATTTCTCCATCAGGGCTTCCTGAAGGAACCAACCAGTGAATCCTTCATTTTGGACCTCTGGTCACCTAAATTACAAGAGACTAAATTTTCACTGTTTTAAACAAACCACCCTATTTGTCATGGCAGCCCTAGGAAGCTAATACCAGGATTTACTATATGGTTGTGGTTTCCCACTTCATGGTTACAATAAAGAAAACTGCACTCCCGCCGTTACAGTGCTTATACGCTAATGAAGTAGATGGTAAACAAATACATAACACAAGGACAACTACTGCACCACAGGGAATGAACACATGGAGGTGGTAAGTGGCTGAGAACCCTCTCTCCCGAGGTATTTTAATGCTAATAAATCTGGATTGTGAGATTTCATGATTCCCAGCACCATTTACTATAATCCCCAACCCTAGTTAGAAAAAGAGAAAAAAAAAATTGGCAAGAATAGCAGCTCAATTAACAATAGACACGAACTTGCTCATACCAAGATTCTAAGATACAAGAAAATGGCTTCCCAGATCCTCCCAAATTTATCTCTTCCAGTAGTTAGTAGCCAGTACTCTGCTTTTTTCTCACTCCATAAAGTTCCTCAATATCACAGGACCTAAGACTCAAGGTATAGGGTGGTCTAGTCTTTACACTCAGTAGATTGGTCCACTTCCAGACCAGAGAAGACTATCTTAGTCAACTCTAGCTCTAGAGCTTAGACATCTGCCTTACTTCCAAAAACCCAGGGATGGACAAACATAACAACCCAAAGTACTACCTGGGTCCTTACAGGTTCTTTTGGTTGCTTTCCCTTTTAAGATCCTTTCACTTTATTGCTCAATATTTGGTCACAGAAATGTTAGCTCCTGCTACATCTTTAGTGTTCTTAATTTGACACCCAACCAATTCTTAATTATTCTATAAATAAGACTGTCTTTCACTCCTTTAATAATTAATAACTCCTTTAATAATTCGGCCCCAAATCCCCAAGGTCCGAAGCTCAGAAACTCATTCTTGGCAGTCGCTGTTCCCTTTCACAGATGACCTTCCCTTCCTACAGCTGGCTCACTCCTTAAGTCATCTGCTTAGATGGAGGGACCCACAACACAGATTAACTGCACAGTGAGGGTGGAGTCTTCTATTATATTCACTGCACCAGTCATTTAGGCAAAGAAAAAACAAATTCCTGAAAGGAAATTGAACACTTCAAAATAAACCCTCCCATATTGATGTTAAAATTCTTTTTTTTTTAAATGGTGGTACTTGGGTTTGAACTCAAGGCTTTGCACTTGCTAGTCAGGCATTCTACTACTTAAGCCATGTTCCCAGCACTGGTGTTAAAATTCTTACAGGTCATTTGTAACCATCAGCAAAGAGACTTATGGTGTTTAAAATTTTTAACATTCATAGTTCAAGCATTATAAATGTCTTAACAAAAAGCGTATGTAATCAATGCTGTGCTTCAATAAAATTGCAATTTCAGTAATAATGACACCTACTAATTTGAGATTATTTAATTTCAATTTAGATGTGAACAGTGAAAAATTAAAACAGAAACATTAGGCATTGGTAGATAGACATGTTTAAACTGAAAAATCTTAAAGATCTCAATATATATATTATGTGTATGCATATACATGTTCATATATATATTCCACAAATTTCAAATAGTAAGTAACACATTACATTGTGTTAATGTCACAAGGTAAGTAGGAAAATAAGACCACCACATTTACAGTTTTACCTATGCCATTCTTAGTGGCTGTTTAGTAACTTTTCTATTTCTTCTGTAAATGGCTCACATTAAAGCAAAAGGGCATTGAGTTCCACTTTATTTTTCTCAGAACAAATTAGTGTAAACAAAAAATTCAACTTCACTTTGCCCTTAAAGAATATACTCATTTGTCCTGTTTCACTCATTCCACCTTTAGCTCATCATGGGGCATCTTCATGCTACTCACTGGGGCAACAGGGAAGCCATGGGAACTGGACTCACCATCACTGTTTGAATCAGGGCACATCATCTGCAGTCTGGACTGCCTTGCAATGCATCTCCCATCCTGCTTTTACTCTTGCCCTGCCCCCTTAGTCTTTGTCCCTCAGAGCAGCCAACAATTAAAAAAAAGTCTCTTCCTTGCTGTTCAGGCCAATCAGAATAAACCCCAAATCTTAACCACAGTCTATCACACACCATGGGAACTGGCCTAGACTACTGCCCTCTTTAAATTTAAATTCCATTATATCTAAATGCCATTCTTTCAGCTCTTTCTGATCCTCAGCTTTGCCAAGCATCCCCCAAACTTAGGAACTCTGTACTTGTTTTTTATCATACACTTTTCCCTCAATCTACAAATTCAGGTCATAGCTCCAATCTCCCTCTTGCAGAGGGACTTTCCCAGCCTAATTTAGCTATTGCCCTTTCACCCCCACTTCCATCACTTTTTGTACCAGTTCATATTTTTAACACCATTTATCACACATGAAATCATGGTCATTTTCTGTGCATCTACTCCCTACCTGTTGTCTTCCATTTCTTAGTGGCAACCTGAGAAAAAGTATCACCACTATCTCTGGTACCTAGAAAGTTCCTGTCATAAAGGAAACATCTGTTGACTAAATAAATGAACAGTTATGTGACTTTGGGTAAATTGATAAAGTTCTGAACTAGCCAAACAAAAACAATAGCTCAATTTATCATTCATTCCATCTCCTTCTACTCACTAAATTCTTTTGCCACTTTGTGGAAAAGAAAAAAAAAAATCCTAAGCACAAACAAAGCCCAACAAATAGCAGGAGGCATGAAGTAGGCTGAATTCAGGCTTACTTAATGGATGAAGTTTCTGAAATCCACAAAAAGGGCTTCCCACATAAAACATTTGGTCATTCATGTTCCTTAAGATTTATATGGGTTAGAGCAGGTACTAAATTGAATATAGCAGATTTTATTTACAATTTCTAAAACAGCAACCCAGTAACTCTACCATTGAGAAAGGTAAAAAACATCTGAAATCAAAATACAACAAAAGGAATGACTTCCCTTTAATCCTGAATACCAGCTAAATACTTGATTGAACAATGACACTGAAGTTTTTAGTTAAATCCAGCAAATTTTATTCTCTTCCTTTGAACTTTTGTTTAAAACACACTTCTGTCACTCAGTTACTATGTTCTGCATCAAGTACCAGAGTTCTATACATTGATATTAATGCCGCCTTCAATTACCAGCTCCTGGATATTTTAAATAGTAATAAATATTCTAGATTACAAACTTGGTATGAAAAACTTTAATGAAAACATTAATCATACAAAAATTAAATAGCAAAACTAAAATGATTTACAATTCAAACAGATTTGGCTTACTGATATTTCTCTATTGGTTTGTTTCATAAGAACTGATTATTTCTAGCTGTAACTGGTTTAAGATTGTGGTAAAGGAAATGGAAATCAAGTATACAAAGCTCATAAGCCCTGTGCTCAGGATGTATTGCTCATAAATATTAGTTTTCTTTTGTTATTATTTTAAAAGGATACATACAAGTTTACAAAACATGCCAACTTCAGGTAAATGCTTCTTGCACAAGAAACAGCCACATGTGAGGAATCTAGCATGGCATTTGTTGAAAACTACTATATTGTCTAAGGAATGTGCCCTGTGAAATTTCTTTCCTGACTGATAAAAATTTCTCACTAATAAACTAACATCTGAAATCTAGTTATAAAGCTTCATGTTACAAATTAAGAGGTCTTTTAAAGAATCACTTTTTTTTTAAAAGTACAAAGTTACATGATCAAGAAAAGTACCCCGTAAGAAATGAAAACATAGAGAAATAGTCCTCTTATTGCACATATGGCTCAGTCTTATCTGAATTTACAAAAACATGTGGTTTGGAATATCAAATGCAACTATTCAGCTAATATGAGGAATAACAAACATGTTAACTCTGCCACCAGCTAAGCCTTAGGAAATATTGTACAACTGTGTCATGCTTTTAATCAGTGTTACACTGCCCTTGCTAGTGTACTAATTAAGATGAAGCTTAATATTCCGTCCTTCTAACAATGGCTGGAAGAAAATACACAGATAAATGTGAATATACGAGATGGTCTACAATATAAGTTTTCTAATATTCCACATTTAATAATTGAGCTCAATTCAATCTGAGGTATATTAAAAGGTCGAAAAAGTTTTAGTCCACATCATAGGTGATGTACCATGCAAGCACTACCACCACAACTCCACACACAGGAAGGAGATAATATTTATATTTTTGCCAAAGCGATAGCTCAATTGCCACTTCCTCTCTTTTCCTGTTCTTCTTCCGACGACCCTTCAGTCTGTTTTCAAAAGCCTCCAGTTCAGCCTAAATCAAAAAAGTTATTTTTTATTAAATTCAGTGCACACATTGACTTGAAAGTTCCCATATGAATGAAAATAAATAAATTTGGGAAATATTTTAACAGTAGTGATATAAAATAAATATAACAATTTGATTAAAGAAAAAAAAAACTCTCTCCACTATTAATTCTATTCAACAAAGTCAGGTAAGCAGAAAGGGAAAAGATTATTTCAGACTGCAGACCTGACTTTGATACCAAATATTTAAATGTCTGGTTAAATCAGGGGGCCCTAAAATACAGACACCAGTTTTATACTTCAACAACCAGCTTCTAGCAAGTGTTTGGAGATGCCCAGTGAACATAGTGATACTTGTAATTTCAGTTTTGTTTTTTAAAACAATGCAAATAATAAATATTAGTGGCTTACAGGGATGATATTCAAGTGAATATAGAGAGAAAAAGTTGACAGAACTTGATTCCTTATCAAATACATTTTTAAGAATACAGTGAAAATTCTTCAAGGGAAAAATATTTCATGTTTTATTGTAAAATGACTATTTTAGAAAGAACTTAAAACTGGATCTAAGAAGGATAACTGGGTTATAGACATTATCAAACATGGATTTTTATTCTACTGTTAAGTTCTTATTAAGTTCTTATTTAAGTGGTAATGTAGTATGACACACTACAGTGCATATTCACTGAAACATGACAGTTATTAGGTGGTACTATTCAATGAGCCAAAAAATATATATATAATAAAATGTTCCCAAGTGGTTATTGATATGTAAAAAAAAAGTCAAAAAATCTTAAAAATGTAGCCAAACTTGAGGGTCACTGACAGTCAAAGTAATTGATGTTTAAATGATCATCCTCGGCCATCAAATTCTATATATTCTACTTAGAGTCTTAAATAGGTTTTCATCCACAATGGCTCATAAAAAGAGGTGATGGGGGAGAAATACCCCAAACTATTCTTAACAATTTATTTTCCCAGGATTTTAGCCAACCTGTGTGTTTTACTGTATTAGCTGCTAACTTTGGGGATATTTGGCTAATGAACTTTATAGAATCAAAAAATATCAGAAGTCACCTTAGTCAAAATTTACCACATGAATTGTTTCTGAAGTCTCTCCCCAGTCATGCAAGTTTCAATCTCCTCTCTCATAAAGGTGACCATTCAATAATACACCCTGATAAACATAAAGTATCTCAAGATGCAAACTAACAAGCATTATTAGAAAGTGAAGCACTCTTTGGAGGACATGATCAATACAGTATTTGAGCCATAAGGGAGTATCAGGAATGTACTTGATATCTAGGTAATAACAAAGACTGGATGATAGCCCTGCATTTAAGGATCTAATTGGGAAATAGGAAATATAGTATTAAAAAACAAATGTATTGTTAGTAAACTTATTTGTTTACAAAGTATAGCAGCATTTATTATAGTAAAAAAGAACCCAAATACTTTTAGGTGAGTGAAGACATGATGCTTTCAATGATAACTTGACACTCTTCCTCCATTCCCCACCAACAGATTAGTTAAAACTCTTATGGCTAGAAAATGAATGAAACTGGCAAGAAAATAAACTGGAAATATGTGAGATATATGAGAATGTGAAAGATGTTGTGTCTTCTCACAGTTTTAGTACCCCTCAAGTAAAGTAAGTAGATGGCTTATTTTTGTTTTGTAGAAATATTTTCAGTTTAGAAAAGCTGACATATACCTTGATTTGCACAAAATCTAACAATACCAGGGGACATAAATTCGGTATTTTGCTCAGTTACCTGTTGTCTTCGTTTTTCTTCTTCAAGAGCAGCTTTAGTTTCTGCTTCTTTTATCTGTTTATATATATTTAAAAGTAAATTAACAACTAAATGATCAAATTTTACACAGAATTCTGATTATTCCCATCTAGTATATGCTAACCCATAGCAAGTTTTGGGAGCCTTATATTGGAAATTGCTTAAAGAAAAGTAAACACAAGTTTTACCAAGATACCATCTAATAGACTGAAGGTGGCAATACTCGAAGTGTCATACTTTATTTCCTCTTAACAACTCTATCAGATGTTAGATTATAAATCAAAGCTTTAAAACACTGTAAACCGAAACAGTTTTAAATTTTGTTTTTTCCTCTTAAGTTACCCTATTAAGAATTTAGAAACAATTATTAAATATCACATTTTCCCAGAGTTGAAACTGACCATGACTTCAATTGCTCTTCTGCAAGGAATGGAAGCCTCAGTATCAAACAAAATCAAGATTGTATTCATTGAATGAATTAAAAGATGGAAAGACACCCCAAGCAACAAAGAATTCCAAAAGTTTACTTTAGCCAATTTTTTTTCAGTGAGCTTATACTAATATTAAAACAATTATTTTCCAAAATAAATACACAACTGGCATGAAAGGTAGAAAGCACAGATGCACGCTGGTCAATAAAAAGCCGCCTTGGATTTGAAATAACCCTATACAACTAGGCTTTTAGAACAAAAGCAAAAAGACAAAATTTCAGGTTGCTTTTAATAAGCACATAAATAAATGCACAAAGTAGTAGGGCAAGGCCATTAGCACATTAGAAATGATTTAATGAGACAGTACCTCAGATGCTTTCTGCTTCATTTCCTTGCATATTGTGTCACATTCTACTGAAACCTGATTTTCACGTACTTTATTGCACTGTAATTCCTATAAATAATCCAAATTTCACATTTAAATGATCTTTCCTTCAAATTCACAACTCTATGACATAAAAAAGAAAAATTTACCTAACAGCTTAAGGTTATACACATTTAACAACCACATTCATTATTTAATAATGATATGGTCATAAATACTATGTTGTTTTAAATAGTGATAATGTCTTTATTTTCTCTTAACTAAGAGTAAGTTAAAATAATCAATTTAGTAATTAATTACTAGATGCCACTATCAATTTAGTTCCGATTTTATGTTTATCCTTTACTTTTCTTTATTGCTTCTTGTTATTCTCTTAAAGCCTCCAGGCATCAAAATGTTCTAGAACAGAACTATTCAACAGTGCTTTCTGGGCTGCAGGAAGTATTCTAAATCTGCACTTCCCAGTACAGTAACATTAACCATATATGGCAACTAAGCACTTAGAATGTGACTAGAGTCCCTGAGGAGCCAATTTTTAATACCATTTCATGTTAATTCATTAAAACACACATACAAGTAGCTAGTGGCTACTAACTTAAGATAATGCAACTCAAGAGACATTTCTGGAGAGCTGCATAGTTTTCCCTCAACTATTGACACCTTTTTTTTAAGTTTACATGAAAATCCTCCTAAAGTTTATGTTTCCACTTCAAAGCATAAGTACTAATGAGCAGCAAACCGCACTGGGACAAGATGTAAGATCTCAATTAATGAAGGGACATCTCACATTAAAAGTGGCTAGAGGCCAGATGCCAGTGGCTCATGTCTCTCAGAAGGCAGAGATCAGGAAGATTATGGTTCGAAGTCAGCCCCAGCAAACAGTTCACAAGACCCTATCTCGAAAAAACCTAATACAAAAAGGGCTGGTGGAGTGGCTTGAGGTGTAGACCCTGAGTTCAAGCCCAGTACCACAAAAAAAAAACCAAAAAATACCCTGAGTAAAAACTGATTTTCATTTAAGGTGGTCAATTTAAATATCATGGTATAAATTTAAGTGCAGAAGTACTTCAGGAAAATATACTGGGAACTATGGAAATAAATGAAAAGCAAAAGACATATAAAAGACCTTCAATAAGTTTCTGTTGCATGGATGGAATAAAATAGTGAATCTAAGGAGAAAAAAGGAAGTGGCTTTAGGAAAAGACCATAGAAAAATGAAAAACAAAACAAAACAAGGAGTTACAACTGTAACTGGTATAGAATAAATCAGAAGTAAATATAAAAGAAAGTATCTAAGGAGCACACATTGCCAACAGGGAAGTCAGGAAAATGAAAACAAACAAACAAAAAATCACTATCTTTTCCTTCATAAGTTCTGTAGGATGGTGTGACAGTATGTTCCCACTGGCCTTTCACTCATTAGTTTACTAATGATTAGTAACCTACTTTCACCTGCTTATCTTCTATTACTATCTTATTTTACAATTAATTTCTTCTAAATTTGAGTATGGTTTTATTTACGAGACTATGCATAAAAAGTCTTCTGAAGAAGACATTTTCAAAGGACAACACTGATGACAAAAAGTCACTTCGCCAGTGACACTGTCCCCTTGTTCAAAGACCTCAACTCCAGGGTACACTGATTCTACCCAAAAACAAAAAAGACATTGAGCTCAATTCCAACATAAAACTATCTTCTTTTACTATTAAATTGCAGAAAAATAAATTGCAAAGCTTATTTTTTAAATAAGAACTTACAGAACTAGGTAGGCTCATTTTAATTATAATAAAGAAGATTCTAAGTAATAAGATATTAACATTAGAAGACAAGAAACAAAAACAAAAACAACTACCAACAAATACAAACAAAACAAGAACTCACATAGAAAGGTATTTTTAATTACTTAAAATACTTACCTTTTTAATTCTTTTACAAGGGCACCTAAGTTTTACTTTCTGGTTGCAATTAAAGGGGCACTCACCAGGATGACACATCTCTTTGCATCTGTGACCACAAGGAAGCTAAAATAAAACCAAAATAAAGCAATTACATATTTACATTGTGGTCATATTTCACCCACCTCCATATTCCAACAATAATTTTAAGAATGAGCCCATCATACATAGGACCAATCAATCCTGGCTAATGAATGAAATAATTTTTCAATTTTTTTCTTTCAGATAAATTACTTTAATTATTCAGAAATTTTAAATAGTCTCCTAGCTCTACTCCAAGAGTGGATCTCACAGCTGCCCTTGTAGCTAGTTATAGCCATGTGACTACATTCAGCCACTGAAATGTAAGTGGGTATAAGAAAGCATGTAGGAAGAACTTCCATGTTCCTCCCTTCCCTGTGTACTGGAAGTGATGAAGCCTAGAGCAATAATAGAAACCATGCATCAAAGAGAGCCAGAGTTGCCTGTCTAACTTGGATTCCAAGATGAACACATGGAACACAGTGACACACCTACCTTCTCTGTACTGCCACGTGAGGAAGAAAATTTCCTTGTTCTTAAGCTACTGTACTGTGGTGTTACAACTGACTCTAAAACATTTATCCTTAACACTAATCATTACTATCTATTATTGAAGTAGTCAGGATATCTCAGTAATTACCCTGAGTCTAAGTGCTCCTTGTCTTTACTATCTTTCTATACCAGTCAAGTTTTCAAATTAAAGGTTTTCTCCCTATCTACTTAAGTGTTATCCACTTGTACCGTAGCTTAAACTACCACAAAAGCCTAATATTACTTTGCCTATGTCTAAATAAGTAATTGCTATATAAGAAATCTATTTCTAAACTGTGACATTGCTTATATTGTCTTAAACTATTAAAAAAATCTTTTTAGGCATTTCATATATTTCTGTCTCTCCAATCAGAATGTATATAAAATACTACTGATTAGGGGTTAAATCCTAAATCAGATTGCCTAGAACTGAAACACAGGATTCCCTGTCCACGAACTAGCATGTTAGGCAAGTCATCTGACTTTTCCATGTTTCACATGTAAAACTGTGAAGAGCTATAGTAGTTCACAAAGCTGTTGTGAGGACTAAATGTATGCAATGTATTTAACTATTATAATAGAAGTCAGTTGAGGGCAATATATTTTTTTGTGTCACACGTTTCAGAATTCCTACAATACCTCACCTTACTGAGTACCTTACTTTACGTTGTTGCATTGTTTTAATGTGTTTATCTCAATAAACACTTTAGTTTTCTATTTCTGATCTCTATGACTCACCAGATGGATCTTTCCAACCATTCACTCAACTCACTTAAGAAATTCAGAATTCTTTTTCGTTTTGTTTATTCTCTCTGCCATGCAACTAGGTATTTTGTTCTTTAATTTTTACACAAGGCACTCATACTAAAACTAAATTTGGGTTATTCACAATGTGTATTTCCACTAACCCTGCCACAGCAGGGCAGAGTACTGCTGGGCCCACTTTAGTCTTGTTTTCTATAGATAACAACGGGCCCTTAAGAAGCTCAATATTAAAATTGCTTGTTGCACAGTGGTTGTGTCAAGCCTTTGTATTCCTCAACTTCACCCTTGCCCTCATTCCTGTAGAGACTGCCTCCAGCCTGACCTCATAAAGATGACAAACACTGGCCACTGTCCTTCAATGTGTCTCTATGTCATCTTGTTCTTCCCTTAATCTTTGAGAGATCACATCGGTTATTATCTCAAGAGTAACTAACCACTCTATTTCAACTTGAAATCAATGATTCTAAGGGGAAAGTGAGTACAAAAGCATCTATACATAAAGGAAGATCTTGAAATCCATAGAATTATGGCTACAGTGAGGCCCCTCACTAACAGTATTCTATTTCTCCAATGTGTTTAAGGTTGATAAAAGGTCAAAAAACACTGGTCTTGATGTCACATCGTTCTGCCTCCCAACTATTTCTACTCTGCCTGGGTTTTCTGCCTTCAACACACACACACACACACACACACAAACACTTACATAGATAAATCTTTTCTACATATTTCTTCATTTGACCTTGGCAACTCATCTAGCCTTTCCACATTCAGTCCTTATGGAAGTCAATTTATTACCTAACTGCCCATGAGCCACAGTTGTTTTTAGTCTATATTTTGAGCCTCAATCATTTTGGGTTCAATATTTTATTGTATAAGGTAACTATCTTTAAAATTGCTCTCCTAAAAAAAAACCTCCAAGAGTCACTTCTTTTCCCAATATCCCCAAATCTCATAAATAGATGTGCATCTATCCTAACCATGTATGTGCTATATTTTTATAAACACCAATCACATTTCCTTTCTGGACCCACATTTTTAGTGGAACCAGGTAAGATACACTAGAAAAGAACTGAAATAAAGTGGCCAAGCTTTAAAAAAGAACAAAATCCCAGAGAAACAATGCCCAAGGAACATGACCTAAAAGGTCAAACTACAGCTTACCTCTTTAGGGCACTGATTTTTGCAACAACTGAGAAGATTCTTTTCATTTACATCAGCTATGGTTATTTTTCTATAAAAAGGAGGGAAAGTTTTAATGGCGTTCAAACCAAAGTTAATTTCTTAACATAACCTTTCTAAGAATAAAAAATAATATTCTAAGGATAATTCACAATTTCAAATATTCCATAAAATTACTTCATTTACTTTATTTTTTGTAAAGAAATATTTTACTTATGTCTCTATAGCAATTTTAATTATGTCTCCGTCCCGTCTTACTTAACCATTCTGATAACTCAAAATATCCAGCCCTTTCTCTACTAAAAATAAACCAAATGTCAAAAGGGCAATCACCATGAGGAAGTTACAAAAGAAAATATCATCCATACCTGACTTCTCTTCATGAGTCCCTACTAGTATCTTTCCCATAGATAAACCAGTAAAACTCACAATTAAAATTCTTCATTAAAGTCCCTTCTCGAAAAATTAAAAATTAGTGTTTAATATGTTACTTCAAATTGAAGAATTTAGGCTATTCAGTGAGAAATGAAAAAAGCTTAGTGGAAAGCTTTTTTTTCTATTGTTAGGTAACATATTAATGCTAAAACTATTTTAGTTACATCTGTGCTTTTAAATGTTTTTTATCTGATTCAGAGGGTAATTCACAATAAAGCCACAAAACATTAGGAAATAAAGTTACTTTGTAAAAGGCAATTGAGCCAGCATCTAGTGACAATCTAAAACACCCTAACATACATTTCATTTTCCTTTTTACCACTGCCTTTCTTTTTTCTTTATTTCCTGTTTTCCTTCACTAGACAAAACTGCCAAATTCCACCATAAATTTATCCTTACTAGTGTTAATTAAAGCTATTCTCTTAAATATTCACATTAAATAAATGAATTCTAAAAAGTGTCACTTCAATTTTCTTGGCAAACTTTCACTTTGTAATATCACAAAGGATTTATGCTGATCTATTAAAATTGTTGCAAATTTCCCATCCTTACAAGTATGGAGTTCACCTCTGAATCTATGAGTTAAGAACATTTTGTTCTTGTTATTCTATAATTAGAAATAAATGCACTTTTCATGACTGTGTCTTTTATATTTACTTTCTAAAAAGAAATTATAGACAAAGCTGAAAAGTACTAAAAAGAAAAAAATGACATATGAAATAATGCACTAAACTGAAAGTAAATGAAATTATTAGAATAAATCATCTATATAAAATATACACTTTAATATGTACTTATGGAAAAATATTTGGAGGGCTGAGGTAATGGAAACCACTCCAATCCAAATATATTCATATATTTGCTCCCCAAACTACACAGCTCAGTAATAAAGAAGATTCACTCAAATCCCATAAACTCAGGGAAGTTAGTCTATAAGCTCAGCTTAATTCAAAGATAGAAATTCCTACCAATTTCAAATTACCTCCAAGTAGAAAAATAAGTCTTAGTTCCTAGCTGTTATTTCTCAAATTCCTACTGTACGTCTTTTAGGGAGCTAGGGGAGTTCTGAATAAGCTGAGCAGAAAAGATAAGAAGGTACGCAGCTAAAACCACACCAGAAAAACAAAATCTACCAGAAGTGTGAAAATACTGAAAAAGCCCTCATAGATCAGAGCATTAATTAAAAGGCAGGGACCTTTAAAAAGCATATAGGACTCAGAAACAATTTTGGAAAGACAACATTCTGAGAAGAAGGTAACAAAAGAAAGGTCCTCTTTGGAGACTACATGAAGAAGAAAAGGGGAAATTTAAGAACCTGCAAGATCCAAAAAAAAAACAAAGGAAGGACATGTAACACTTCCTCCCAACACCAAACTGAGAAGCCAACCATTAAAAAACAATTTTGCTAATGACACAACAGAGTGGCAGTCAATTCAAATAACCCAAAATCAGTACAGATCTACAAAAAAAACCCCATGTAATTTACATCTACAAAAAATTACTATCGGAGTAAGTAGAAAATGATAGCCAAACCTTTCAGCTGATAAAAATCTCCTCCTACCCTACCTTCCTGGATTTGAATTTTCAGATCAGGGAGGTTCAACCAATGAAGTCTATGCAATTATTCCAAAATCTAAAGAAGTCTAAAATCTGAAACACTTATGGTTCCAAACATTTTAGATAAGGGATAATCAATCCATATCAAAAGAAGAAAACTGGAAGATGATAATTTAAATTGAATTAAATATCCTCAAAGAAGCACTGGGAGATATGAAAGACTATCTGTGCAGAAACTGTTAGCCATGCAGACCTACATCCCACATGACTCCATTGGGAGAAAACACTGGAGCTTGTGCCTGGTTTCTCCTGGACTTCACCCCAGGTGCCTTTCCCTTCACTGATTGGGCTTTATATCTTTTTGCTGTAATAACATGCAGCCATCTGTGAGTAGAGCTCTAACTGATTCCTGCATGTCCTCCTAGCAAATTACCCAATCTGAAAACTAAGAACTAAGCAGGGAAGCAAAAAAAAATTAGGAATGAACAAAGTTTAATTGAATTCAGGAAAGAAATATTTTATGATAAAATTATATCAGAAATGAAAACTAAATTATAAGGTACAATGAAAGAATAAAACAGGACACATTTGAATAAAAACTTAGTAGGAATTTCTGAAGAAAGGAAAACAATCCAGAAAATAAAATAAAAAAACAAGAAAAGTGACAAAGAAATGACTGAAGTGGAAAACTAAAATGAAAAATCCAACATACATAATATTGTTATCATTAAAGAAGAAGATATATGGAATAGAACTCAATATTTAAAACTATAATCAGGAAAAATGAAAGTACTACATATGGAAAGGGTCCAATAGATACAAAACTATTAACTCTGAGATATTTCTTAGTAAAATTATTAGCTATTAAAGATAACCAAAAGGTATTAAATGAAAGAGGACATTTTTTAATACTAAAAGCCATATTAGTTAAGAATTCTGTACAACATAAAGCAGATCAATCATCTTATAAATCAAAACCTACAGCAACTTCAGAGATACAGAAACACACTAAATATGGGATTTTAATACCATACCTTCAGTATAAGACCAATAGAGGAAAGAATTGAGTCCAGATATAGATTCTCAAGCATAATGAAAGTAGAACTTACCTACATAAATATGTGGAATACATATAAAGTAATGATGAGAGAATCTACAACCTTTAGACATGCTTACAATAAAAATGGAAGCATGAAATTAAATGAATTAAATTCCTAACTGAAATAGTTTTTTTAAAAAAAGGTGAAAACAATGATAAAAGCAGATGTTACAGTGGTAAAGAATAAAGGCAATGATCAAAATCCTAATTTTATTTTTAAATAATCAAGAAAAAAAAAACCTAGCTTACCACTCAAAAAAGAGGGCAATGGTAAAAATACTCAAGGTAAGAATGATAAAGAAAAATTTTAAAACAAATTTTAAAAAATCACATGCAACTACTTTACAAATCTCTATGAAAGAGAAAAATTTGAAAAATCTAGATAAAACAGTTTCCAAGGAAAATAATACTTCTCCAAATTGAACTCATGAGAGAGGCATTTTTATTGTACCGAAAAATAAGAAAATGCTCAAAAAAAGTAACAGAAACATGTCAAAGAGACACAGGAACTCCATGCACCATTGTCCAGTAATTTAAACACAAAATGGCAGTAAGAGACTGACTAAAATCAGGATTCACTGGCCTAAAACTGCTTGTTCAACCTGTTTTCATCAGTATCTCTCATTTGAAATATAAAATTGCCTTTTTCTACAAAACTTTTAAAACTAAAAATTGCAACCCTTTATTTAAAAAATTTCAACAAAGTAATTTTAATATTTGAAAACAATAAAATTTGGCTTTTACAATTTCACAAAGCATGAGTCTAGAGTATGAGACAAAATTTTTCAGACAGTACTACAGGCATTTTTCAAAATATAATTATGCTAAAAAATCTGAAGTCATATTCTCAAATTTAAAAATTATATAAAATTTTAAAATTATATAAAAAAATGTATTAACACAAAGCCCACTTTACAGACTTCTATAATAGGAAGATGAGAGCATTAAATGGTAAATTCTGTCAGATCATTAATAAACAAAAAACAATGGGAATTTTTTCACTCCACATAATCCATAAGAAAAAATTGCATTTTTTTTAGATGAGGAAAATATGCAAGGCATATCTTAGTATGATATTATAACATCTGTAATAAAAGTCTACCTTTTAAAAATGTAATTTAAAAGTTATGCTTAACTACAAAAAAGTCAAACTTTGATCAAAATTCTAGTTTAACATCATCATCTGAACAATCTATCAGAGAAGTGTTTCTGCATTTTTTTTTAAAAAGCAGTGATGTAACTTCTTTCCTAACATAATATCATTCAAACTCTCAAAATGAACAAAGCAGAACTTTCCTAGTTGAAATCAGAGTAAGTATCTAGGAGGTGGATTTATCTACATTTCTTCTTTTCAGGTTTCTATTGAAAATCTAGGACTATGTAGAGTTTAAGAAACACAACTGCACATCATTTCATAAAGAACACTATATAAAGGGTTCCTTCAAAAAGACAGCATTCAAATAATTTTAGTAATGTATTTCTTCAGTCTACTTACCTGCATTCCACATACAGGCTTGTGATCTTGCAGTGACATTTTATTCTAAGCATTTGAACACAAGGAGGACATTCTCCAGGGTGACATGGCAAAACACATGGATGAGGACAACCCAGTGGCCGTGGTTTAGAGCACCCTTCCTCACAATGGAAACATTCTAGGCCAGCCTGAAATAATTGCATGAAAGGGAGTCATCAAGTTACAGAAGCCTAACATTTCTAACATATTAAATGTAGAAAAATTAGGTATCTCCCTAAAATAAAGTACTTCACAGCTCTTGGTTAATAAAATGGCACAGTCTCTCACTAATTTTAAAAAATATTCAAGATGAAGAATAAGATTATCAATATGACCATTATTCGTATAGAATTTTTATGCTTATGAACTCAAACCACCACACCTTTAAAATGAACTTAATTACTGAGCATGTAAGTTACTTCCTAAAAACAGTCAATGCCAGAAAGAGTAAAACATATTAATTCATTTTTCTTCCCCAACAAGCACAATTATCACTGAATTAAATAAATAAATAAATAATCCACATCAATAAATTAAAGTTATATTACATTCATAAGTAAGTTACCTTAATGTAATTTAACAAGGCAACTCTGTCTGCTCTAGCTATTTAGTAACATAACGAGTACCAATTCACAACAGAAGATTAAAAATTTCAACTGCAAGATATTATTATTCCCTAATATAGTGAGAGGGGTATAGACACGGAAATTAAGTATTAAATGTTCAGTATTTTTATTATCATTCCTAAGTACAGCCATGATTATAACTGTAATGCGTCAATAAAATTCTAAGCAATAAAAGTATTTTAAATTATGAAAATATTCTTCTGTAAATAATTTATATATTATTAATTTGAAAAAGTATACTCATTCATTCCCCAAATACTTACTTAGCCTCTATCTTCCAGACATTGGGAGTAGATGGGACAAATTCCTAGAATATACATTTAAGTCAGGAAGTAAAAAAACTGTGTAATGTCTTCATGTGTGAGCAAACAAAAAATAAAGCACGGTAAGAGAGTGACGGTAGCAACAAGAACAAACCTGTGTGCTATACTTCATATTTGTTCCTAACAATGTGGTACACATACAATAATGTTCTATTTAAATAACATGAGAAAAGCACACCAAGGCTGGGAGATAAGAAATCAGGGAACTAGTACCATGGCTTAAAACTATCTTAAATAGGAAATGTTTATGTGTGGCTGTTCAATATTTTATGCAGTTCCCATTAAAAAAGAAAAACAGAACTTTTAACTCAGGAAGTAATATTGGGACAATGCACAACAATTCCCTAATAATGACATTAACTTCGAAAATGAGTTTTCCTGACTGATTTAATGTTCTAGAAATCTAGAGGAGGAAAAACTGTACAGCAGGTATAGCCTAACTAGTTAAAATGACCCTGAATCACTGCTTGTCAGTGTGACTTTATACTTTCAATATATTTTATCCTTGGTAAATTATTACTGGGTATCATGACATGGACTAATGAAGAAATTATAATTGACACATTTAAATGTACGTTGCACATGAACAAAAATACTACTACAGGCACTGATACTGTAATGCACTACAATTACCAAATAAAAGACAAAAAACTAATAAGGCAAATAAGTTTTTTAATAATGTAATTCATGTTAATTAAGATATCTAAATTTAATTAAAATATCTAAATTTTCTAGCTTATTTCTCACTAAGACACTTGTTATGATTCTACAGAATAAAGGTCTATAAAAACATTATTTTGCTCAATGTTAAACTCTGATTTTATAATTTGTTTTTTCCTTATAAATGGTGATTTTTAGAGCTCTATAAAGTTTATTTTTCATATACAAAATGTTCTTAGGATATATACATATACATAAACCACACATCTTTGATACTACTTTCTTTCCATCAAATGACTAGGGTTTTATTAAAATTGTAAACATCATCAAGTGTTAAGTGCCAGGTTTGAAAAAAGTAGCTGAGAGCAAACACTCTAGACTAAACTCAGAGATATGGAGAGGAGTGGAGGTGACATCCTTCCCTATCTACTGTCTTAAAAAGATATAAAACTTGCTGGGCTAACAGAATGGTTCAAGTGGTAGAGAGCCTGCCTAGCAAACATAAGCCTTGAGTTCAAACCTCAGTACCACACACACACACACAAAAGATACAGAAGTTCTGCATTTTCATCATAAAATCCTATCCTATGTGTTAACACAGGTACAGTATGCAAACAGTTTTACATTAAAAGCACATTACTATGAGGCAGCACAAAGATATAAAGCAATATACACCAAGCTATTAGCAAGTCGTCTTAGGAAAAGCAAAGAAGAAGGGATGAGGGAAAGAAAGATGAAAGACACTAACAAAATGGAAAAATATTTATGGTATGATTGTTAAAAAAAGTTTCAAGCATACTGTAGGTATATATGCATTCAACCTAAGAATATTACCTTGTTTTTGACAGTGCAGCCATCAACTTCAGTTACTTTGTGACATTCCCTCATACATGTATGATTCTGACAATCCAAGATTCTTCCACAAACTCTCTTACAAGAGTAGGGTCCTACAGCATGGCATGGTAGTGGACTCACCTTAAAAAAAAAAAGAAAAGAAAATTCAATTTAAAAAAAAAAAGAAAAAGAAACTGGCATTAACATGCACACATACACACAAAATCTTATGGATTCATATTCCCAAAAATGACTCCTATAATTTGAGATTAAGTTTTCACAAAGGTCTAGTATGTTTTCATTAGTAATAGTATTTATTATCAAAATCAAAGTAACTTATCAAAACATTTCACACCCCCCCAAAAAAAAAATGCCAAGAAACAAAGCTTTCTATTATTAAAAGGGAAATTCAATGTAAGGACTCTACAGTGAATATATATACAAACTAATGCTCAAATAAAAGCACTGTATATTTTTTAAATTATTAGATAAACTCTTATACTCTTATAACACTGAAATTCAGTACTTTGATTTTATTATTTCTTAACTGTAGTACAAAAACCCACAGATTATAAACTTACTTATAAATTGTGCCTATAACTTACCTCATGCTTCCCAAGACATTCCCTACAAGGAAAAAATAAAAACATTACAAATTCTTCAGAAAGGATATCTAAATCAAAGATGCTAACTCCACTAGTTTTACTGAATAAAAAAATAAATATAAGTAATAAGCAACCACAGGATACAAAGTTAATATATATAGGCCAATTCTTCCCTATACCCTAGCAGTGAACAACTGGAATTTGAAATAAAAAAAACCACAACACACTGGCAGAGTAGCTCAAGTGGTAGAGTGCCTGCCTACCAAGCGTGAGGACCTGAGTTCAAACCCCAGTGCAACCAAAAAATAAAAAAAGTAGAAGAAAAAAAAAAAAAAAAACCCACAACACTATTCATATTGGCACACAAAAATGAAACAGGTATAAATCAAACTATGTGTGTGTGTGTACATATATACATATACAAATACCTAAGTTTACAGTGATCGAGGCAGTATGGTACTAAAGAAAGAATAGAAAAATAAATCAATGGAAGAGAAAGAGAGGACAGAAATAGACCCAACTGATCTTTGACAAAAGAGCAAAGGTAAATGAGAAAGAATACTCTTTTCAACAAATGGTGGTACAGGAACAAATGAACATCCACTTGCTAAAAATTCTAGACAGACCTTATACCTTTCACAGTAGTAACTCAAAATGGACCATAGACCTAAATGTGAAATGCTAAACTATAAAACACAAGATAAGACCTAGGTAATCTTGGTTTAGTGATGACTTTTTCAATATAACACCAAAAGCATAATCCATGAATGAAAATGGGTAAATTACAGTTCATTAATCTAAAACTTTTTGTTTTGTAAACAACACTTTAGAGAACAAAAAGGCAAGCCACAGATCACAGATTAGAAGAAAACATCTGGAAAACATACATCTGGTAAATGACTTGTTTTCAAAATATACAGAGAACTTTTAAGCTCAACAATAAGAAAGGAAGCCCAATTTAAAAATGGGCTATGATATGAACAGTGGAACTAAAGCTGTAGAAGGAAAAAAATGAGAGAGGCTCTTAGAAACAAAGAAAACAAGAATTCTCTTTCAAAGACCAATACACAGATTGTTTCCCAGAATATTGTATTTTCTTGTAATCTATATCCTCTGCTGAAAGTATGAAACATTACAGGATTATCTATTCCCCCAAATTCAACTTATTACACCTCAATCCCAGTCATCCCCTGGCTCATTCAGGAAACTACTCTATTTCATTTCCAGTCCTTCAATACTGTCCTTCAAGTTTACCATCTAAACCCTGGCTTTCCTTTGTCCTCAGCCAGCTGGCAGTCTAACATGGGAATCGCCAGGAAAAGTAATAAATGATGAACGTCTCAGATGTGCTTTCATAACTATAAGCACAAGTTGCTATGGGAAGTTAAGGACATTAAATTCTGGCTGAGAGAGGAGTCAAAAACAGATACCCATAAGAGGTTTAAAATCATTAAGGCAATTACAGTTAAAAAAGAATGAAGCTAAACACCAGTACTAGTTTATAGACCAGTCCTGAAATAATGATGAACTAAACTAAGGCAAAGGGGAGGGGCTGATTTAAAATAAAAGTTCAAGACTATGTCAAAAAAAATTTTCTTTCCCAGTAGTGGGGCTTCAACTCAGGGCCTACACCTTAAGTCACTCCACAAGCCTTTTTTTTTGTGATGGGTGTTTTCAAGATAGGGTCTTGAGAACTATTTGCACAGGCTGGCTTTGAACCAAAAAGATCATGAAGACCATTGTGTCAATCAATAAAATCTGGGTGTGGTGGTACACCCCTCTCAACCCAGCTACATAGGAAGCAAAAATAAGAGGATCTTGGACCAGGCTAGCCTGGGCAAATGTTAAGACCCTATTTGAAAAACATCTACAGCAAAAAGGGCTGGGTGCAGCTAAAGCAGTATAGCGACTGCCTGGCAAGCACAAGGCCCTGAGTTCAAACACCAATATTGCTAAAACTTTAAAAAAATGTATTTTTAATACTTACACAGGAATAGGAACTTGGCATGGAGGACAAGGTAATGTAGTCTGAATAAATGCTGGCTCAGAAGGCTGCTCCCAAGGGCCTGTAGGCTGGTGCTATGAGTAAAATATATGACAATTTAAATTCACAAGTTTTAAGTAATATAGCCTTTTCAGAATCTAGGCAAACAGTTGTCACATATCCTTTGCTAAAGCAGGCTGAAATTTTTTCAACTAATCAACTGTTCTTATTGAGCCATTTTATTCCATCTATATTTTATCAGATATTCCCTTCCACACACATAATGAAAATGGAGGCAAATGCCAGTATTTAAAAGATATAATAAAGGCAGTGCAGCCTCCTCCGTCTCTCAAAAGCTAAAAGAATGATAAACAACTGTAAACTCCAATATCCACCAGCTGAATGTAATCTCTATTATTTTATTCATTATTGTTCCTCAAAACCTAGAAGAAAGTTTGGTGTGTAGGAAGGGCTCAATAAACACTGAAGTGAATAAATCTTTAAGGAAACTAAGAAATATGCACAACCTTAACCCATAGTATCCGAAGGAAAACTGGAAAAATCATCTATATCCTGATTATAACATGACTAATATACTGTATTTGCAAACATTTGTTTATTGGTTTCTCTCTTTTTCTATACTATAAGCTTTCCTTTTTCATTTTTTTGGTTTTTTTTTTTTTTTTTTGGGGGGGAGGGAGCAGTGCTTGGGATCAAGCCCAGGGCCTTCAAGTGCTCTATCAGAGTGACACACCCAGCCCTTATACTATGAGCCTCTTAAGAAAAAAGACAAAGTCCCAGCACAGTCCTTAATACCCAAAAGGCACTCAATCATTGTTTAATAAATGACTAACTAAAGTCAAGAAAATATGATCCACAGCAATACACTCTCTTTAATAAAACTGCTCTCTTACCCTGCCAGTTTGCTTTATTAATGCTTGATCGTGACATGAAGCAGGACACAAGTGACCACATTTCTCCAAAACTTTTTGGCAAGGCTGGTGACATGGTGGACAAGGGCCAAAGTGACAGCGATGTTTTTCTCGACTTGTATGATGACATGTTGGTGGTTGACTAAATTATAAAATTCAAATTTTTATGTTACCATTGACCATTGAACAATTACGTCTAACGTACAATTATTTATTAACATGTCTTCTGATTCCATGCAGAATGAGCATACTGTAAATATATCAGTATTTTAAAACATTAAAGCAAAATTAAATGAAAATGTTAATAACATTTAAAAAATCATTATGAATATAAGTTGTAAAATGCTAGATGCAGGTCTGTGTAAAGCTCATACCAACCTGCAGAGCTCTTTGCATTTGGGCGGCCTTGTCGTTCGTTCTCGGCCACAGGGTACAGTCACCTTTGCATTACCACAATTGCACTTCACATCTACAGTTTCTGGGCATGGATAGCAACTGCCTGAAAATAAAAAGCATGATACTTTTAAGTTGCCTTACTGACTGACCAACCACTAAATTTAATGTGTTTGTACAGTAAGATAGCCTACAAGAAAAAAGAGGACATGAAAGTAATGTGAATGAATCTTAACACACACCTTTAAGCAAAAGCCACATGCAGAGTGTATCAGCTTATGACTCCATTTGTATGACGTTAACAGAGAAAGCTAACTTTTACTGTTGGAAATCATGGTGGTTCAGAAGGATATAAAGAGTGCTTTGGAGATACTGGTATTGATCTGTTTAATGATCTGAATTCTGGTACATGGTTATGTTCAGTTTATAAAACTTCATCAAGCTGTTCACTTATGATTTGTACACTTTTCTTTATGCATACTGGCACTTCAATGTAAATTAAAAAATTTAGTTAAAATTTGATGACAGAAGTTCTTTCTAAATAACAAATATAATGTGTAATTCATTCAAAGCTATAAGCAAAAATGGATTTAAATCTTTGGAAAATCTAACACTAACAGTGATCCCCAAAAGAAAAATTATTGGGCTTTAGCCTTTCACTCCCTTTTTTTAGGAGTTGTTAGAAATATACAAAAATAACACTAAAGAAAACACTTTTTAAATTTAACATAGGTTGGGTCTTGAACTAGAGATCATCTGCCTAAGCCTCCTGAGTGTTGGAATTACACGCAGACACCACCATACCCAGCTTAAAAGAATCCTTTTCAAACAGACTATAAAGTTCTCTACAAGCCCTCTGGGGAAGGCTTTCTTCCTACTCTAATTTTCCCAGTAAGAAACCTCATTAGAAACAAAATAATAAGAAAGGAAACAGTCTCCAACTAAGGGATAACAATCTTAAAGAAACTGCTGTCTATGTGTCAGGACAAAGCAAAATATTGTCCAGCAGTAACCTGGTAAGAAACAGATGAATGATTGAAAGTACCCTGTTCCCTAAAACAAAAATGAATTAAGGATTTTGTGGCTAGGCATGGCAGCTCATCCCTATAATCCCAGCTACTTGAGAGATGATCATAGGAGGATCATGATTCAGGCCAGCCCAGAAAAAGTTGGTAAAACTCTATCTCAAAGAACAAACTAGGTGTGATGGAATACAACTGCCATTCCAGCTATGCAGGAGGGGTAGATAGGAGTATCACAGACCAAGGCTGGCCAGGACAAAAGCACAAGATCCTATCTGAAAAATAACTATAGGAAAAAAAAAGGGCTAGGGGCATGGCTCAAGTGGTAGAGTACTTGCATGGTAAGCACAAGGCCCTGAGTTCAGAACCCCAGTACTGGAAAAAAAAAAAAAAAAAAAAAGAATTTTGATTCAGATAATAAGAAAGTGCAAGGAAAAAGTATCTTAGTGGAAAATATATTGTAAGAATTACTAAATTTATCCTTTGTTTTGATAAGTATAATCCAGTGAAGTCTTATCTTGATGGAAATACAATCTCAATTATCCTGACCTACAAGAAAAAAGTTTTCTTTTAATTTTTATTAAAGAATGATTAGGTATTACATTTTTCAAGTTAACAGTGACATTTTAGGTTTCTCATTCAGCATGTTGTATAAATATCTGTACTAACAATGATAATTTTTCATTCATCTTCAGCAACTCAAAGACGAACTTATCAAAAATAACCTTTTTGCCACTCCAAACTGTAACATCGCTTTTTAGCAATTAAAGTTTCAGCCAGGCATCAGTGGCTCAAACCTGTAGTCCTAGCTACTTAAGAGGCTGAGACTGGGAGGACTGCAGTTCAAGGCCAGTCCAGGCCAACAGTTCCCAAGACCCCATCTCCAAAATAACCAGAGCAAAACGGACTGGAGTTAAGGCTCAAGGGGAGTGTCTACTTTATAAGTGCAAAGCCCTGAGTTCAAACCCCAGTCCCACCAAAAAAATTAAAGCTTGAAAACAATAAGGAGTAATTTACCTTAATAGTCCTTCTATTGAGAAAAGAATGTTACAGATACCTGTACATGACAGATACTAATTCAAACAGCTTCAGTGATAATCTTTTCAAAATAATAGGCAACGGGCAGTGGGGAGAAATGACCCAAACAATGTATGCACATGTGAATAAATGAATAATTAAAAAATAAATAAATAAAAATAAACAAAGTTTTTTAAGTTTTTAAGTTTTTTTAAAAACTTAAAAAAAAAAAAAAAGCAACATGTAACCATAGTGACCAGTGAGTGAGTCAGCAGCCAAACTGGCAGGATTCTAATAATTCCACAACCATAAACATAGATGACCTTAAACTTAAAAGAAGCAGAAGTCAAGTATTTATATATTCACCATGGATATATGCAGTATCTTCATCAAGAATGACAAAAAGTGGTATGAAATAATGATCCACATATCTCATAAAACTGTGAGTTAAAAAAGTGATAATGTGTACAATAGCCTCTTCTAAATACTTTTGTTCAGGGGCTAATAAGCTTATTTTTGGAGTAATAAGGAATATTATTTTTAAAAATGCTGCCAAAAAAAAATAGAACCTAAATTTGATCAAATCTTTAGAACCAACTACAATTTATTGAAATGCAAAGGATAGAGAAACACATTAAACACCACCACAGAGACACTATCTGCAATATCCAGAGTAAAACACCAAAGCAGCCTAATTTTTTCAACAAATAAGTTGAGAGAAAAAAGAGAGAGAGAGAGAGAGAGAGAAGAAAGTTATTATTAAACCAGCCACCTATTCTTGGAATATTGGAATAAGCCTCACTTGGTTATAACAAATTAAAGATATGAGCAGCTAATACTATAGTAGTAGACAGCTGAATTTGGATACCTAAAACTTTAACATTTTTACAAATATGTTCATGAATTAGACTGCCCAGTAATTTTCTCTTATTTTCCGATCATATAATGAGTTAGGCACGTTCTTTCTTTATATACACAAATAGTTTATGAGCAGATTCAACCATAGATATCACAGATGTTCATTTGTTAGATGTCATTTGTAAATATCAACTAGGCCCTGTGTTTTCTTGGTGAGAAAATTTTAAACCACTGATTCAATTTCTTTAATGGTCACAGTAGTCAGGTTACCTACATAAAAGCCAGTGTTTAACAAACCATATCCATATTCTCCTTTTCCCAACCATCCTTTAAGTTACCATCCCCCTGACTTCCTGTCCTACTTAAGTACTGTGCTTTGCAATAACTGCTTACTTGTCTGAAATGCTACCCTGGTCTCATTTCCATGTGGCTTGAGCTCTTCTTTCAGATCTACTCTCAAACACCATCTTTTCAGAGTCCCTCTCCTAGACACAGTTTCAAAATAGTATATACCATCTCTACTATCATAATTTTAATTTTACTAATTTTCTTTTAATGCTTATCACTATCTAATATCTATATTCATTTATTTGTATGCTACTGAGAAGGGAGGGTAAAAGACTAAGTCCCGTAAGAACAGGGACATTGTTACTTTTGTTCATTCATATAATCTCAGTACCCAGTATTTAGTAGACACTCAAAAATGTCATTGTAATAGCTTACAACACGATTCTCAAAAGTTGATTAGGGACCACAGGATCCCTAAGAACCTTGTGGGTGGTCTGCAAGGTCTCACATACTTAGAATTTTCAGAAGTTAGTAACAAGTGATATAACAGAGAGTAAATGCAGAAGTAGGTATATGAATCCAGACAACTTCTAAGAAGCTAGATATTAAAGATATCTGCAAGAATATAAAACAATTCCACACCAGTCTCACTCATACTTTTTTTAAAGAAAAAATAGTTGTTTCATAAAAATGTTATTTTTAATAAAATGTAATGGGTCTATTATTGCCATTTTTAAACAAAATATTTTATTTTCAAATACAATAAATGTCAATGGACAAAATCCACATTAACAAAAGTTCTTTAGGGTTCCCAAAAGTATAAAGGGATCCTGAGAACAAAATGTTTCAGAACCACTGGCTTAGGATATATCCAATCCCTAACTAAACCTTAATTCCATATAAATATATAAAATTCAGAGTAAAATTTAAAAACCTATGAACACCTTAACTGATTTAAAAAAAAAAAAGTGGGAAAGGCTAGGAAACAACAACACGGTATTAAGGAAAGAACGAAACTTTTATATTTGGAAGACTTGGGTTCAAATCTTAACTGCATTGCTGTGCTGACATTTCCCTGAATAGTCACTGAACTCTTTACGTGCCTTGTTTCTGAAATAGGAATATTAGTGAGTGTCCTACTTTTTCTTAAGATCATTAGGAAGCTCAAGTAAGATAATAAATGTGAAAGCTTGCTATTGACTATTAAGCACTAATTAAATATAAGCATAAAATTACAGCTATTGTTAAATTTTACCTCTGTGGCAGACAGATGGACACTTATGGTTTCTACATCCTAAAGTTCGTCCACAGTTTTGATCACAAGGTGGACAGTTTCCAGGACAACACTAAAGAGAAAGCAATATATAAAGATCATGCAATTTGAAAACCCAGGCATAATATGTCATTAGTAGTTATTCACAAAACTTATGGAAAGCGAAACATTTTTTTCACTTTAAGAATGAAAATATTCAAAAGTATCAATATTCTTCTGGTAAGTATATACCCTATATTAAGAACTTACTAGTTTAAGTAGACAATGACCTCATCCAATAAAATCAAGCTAAATTTTCTTGCCCTTTAGTTAATTATTCTATGACTTAAAATATTTCCATCAGATAATTGTATTTACTTATCTATGTAGAGACTGACAGCATTAACTAAAGGAATGGATCTGGTAAAATCTAGTCAATTCAGGCAAGTAGTCTGGCTAGTTTTAAAATTCAATTAAAATAAAATTGGTTTAATATATAGAATAGTTTGGCAATTATTTTCAAAACATGGGATCAGAGGCCAACCAAGTAAGAGAAGCAACAGCTGCACAAACCTTTCTTTGTCACTCCCTTGCTTTTCGATCTGTTTGTGATAAATAGAGCTATGATCTGTCCTAATTTTTCATTCATGAATACCAGATACCTACTTAGAGAGTATATAGCACCATCCTAACTCCTTCTTTGACTTCTCACATACCCAAGCTTTAGAAAGGATATACAGACTACAAACTTCTTAAAAGAAATTTAGGGCTGTAACTTACATTAAGAACAAGGTTCAGTATATAAAATTAGCACCAAAAGAACTGACTTTATTGAAAAGTAATTAATCAACCAAAACTGTTCACTCAATTGAGAGATATTTACTGAATAAGATATGTGACTATCACTTTGCCAATGGAGTAGGAGAAAAGTTTATGTGGTCCATGACTTGAGTAAGCCCGTCAGCAATTCTACTTCCAAGCACGGTGGAGTAACAATGACTAGATTTACCCCTCTGTCTCAATTAGAAACTCAGACAAAAGATATGAAGTACAATTTTAAAAATTCATTAGACACATAGGACAGCAATCCCTAATAGAAAAGAAACACAAAACATGAGCCCTACAATGGCATCAGCCCAGGCCTGGCTTCCAGGCTGCAGTACAAGGAGGAAAACCACAATCAGAATCTGGTGGTCTCACCAAGTCAAGTACACAAAATTGATAGGTGAGGGAAGCCAATGTGGCTACAACTTGTAATGAGGGAAAATCTCTGAAGAACTTCAGAACAGACCCCTTACGTACTCAACTATACCTGTGTAAGAAGTTATCCAAAACCTGAGAAAGAACCACTGGAAGGAAAGGACACCAAACTTCACAGGTCACATAGGGTTGGGAACAGCTTGTGTTCCTTATAGTCAGAGTGGAAGGACCTCCTGATACAAAGGCATCAATGGAATACTTCAGAAGAGTTATTGCCTCAGTAGTGGGACCAAATGATTTCTAAGTTAACTTATATTTGTCCCAAAAGTACTTAAAGGAATAAATTTAAAACAAAACCAAACAAACAATGCCAAAAATGACATTCACAATGTCTAAAAACCACTAAAAAATTTTCCAAACAAGCAGAAAAATACAATGCAAAGGAACAGAAAAATCAATCAACAGATCCAAGAATGAGAAGTTATATAATTAGAACACAAATACATTCCAAATATACAGCCTATCGGTATATAAAAGATGACAAGGAGTAAACATGCAATGAAGAAACATGGGAGATACATAAAAGTCCCAAGTACAACTTCTAGAGATGAAAATACACAGCTGAAAAGAAAAAATGCAGGATGAGGAAAAGAGATTATACAGAAGCAAACTGATAAACTTGAAGACAAAACTTTATCATCTATCTAAGATAAAGACATGAAAAAGACTAAAACAATAAACAGAGCATCAGTATCATCTAATAAATCAAAATCTCAGAAGGGGACAAGTAAGAAAAAACAAAAAATATCTACTAAAGATAAAAGTTATAGAAATTTGATTAAAAAAAGCAAAACTATAAGCCTACAGATCCAAGAAGCTGAATAAAAACTAAGCTAAGGAAGCGTAAAGACACTAATGCTATGGAATACCAGGACATAACTGCTAAAAACCTCATGATAAAAAGAAAAATCTTAAAAACTAGTCAGAAAAAAAAGAGATACATTAGGTAGAGGAAAAAAACAACAATCACACCTCCTTGTTAGGGAAAAAAAAGCAGGCTAGAAGAGAATAGGACAGCATCTTTTAAGTATGGAGTGAAAAACTGTCAAACTGGAGTTCCACAGTGAAAACACTTTTCACAAAGACTAAAGAAAGATATTTTCAAACACACAAAGTTGAAAAAATTCAAGACCAGCACCACAAGAAATGTTAATGGAAATTCTTTATATAGAAAATAAAATCAGATGGAAACTTTAACCTATACAAATATATAAAAAAGGCACCAAAAATATATGATCATAAAGGACTACTTTTTACTTTTCAAACTCTAAAAACTAACTAATTATTTAAACAAAAATAAAAACAATGGATTTGTGATTTATAAAATACATGGGTATAAAATATGAGACTCAAACACTTTAGGTGAGGAGAAAGTATGTAAAATATGCTATAGTAAGGTTCTTCAACAATATAAAGCCTAAAAGCAACAGGAAGAGGGGCAGGGAGGAAAGGAGGAGATAAAACAAGTTATAACTAATAAGCAAATGAAGTAGATAAAATAGAATCATTTAAAAAATAGCAAAGACAAAAAAGAAAGGGACAGACACAGAAAATAGATAACATGATGGCAGATTTAAGTCCAACTACAATAAGAATCACATTAAGTATAAGTTGCCTATAAAATTTAAATGCTGTCTGTAAGAAACATACTTTAAAGACATGAGCAGGTTAAAACCTGAAAGAATGAAAAAATATATACCATGTTAACAGTAAGCAAAAGAAAACTGAAATCATCACTATATTTCAACAAATTTAAGAATAAGGAATTTTATCAGAGAAAAGGATATTTTGTAATGAAAAAGGAAACTCAGAAGAGCTATATATATATATATATATATAGACTCAATAAAATATTCCAATCGTTTATACTAAGCTAAGCATTAATAATAATTTCTCTTATTACCTAACTTCTATTAAGTCTCAACCACCAAAATGAACTATTACTCTAACACCCTGAAAACCAAAGCAAGCTGAGAAGATTATTATTCTTGAGACAAGAAGACTGTTGTCTTTTATTTTATTTTGAGACAGGATCTTACCATGTAGCCCAGGATGGCCTTGCACTCAAGATCCTTCTGCTTCAACCTCCTGAATGCTGGGATTATAGGCATATAATGGATGCCACTACACCTGGCTTGAGACTCTCCTCATTTAAAAAACTGGCATGAAGTCTGCAAAAAACTGAAACTAGATCCATGTATATCACCCTATACCAAGATTAACTCAAAATGGATCAAGGATCTTAATATCAGACCCCAAACTCTTAAGTTGATACAGGAAAGAGTAGGAAATACTCTGGAGTTAGTAGGTATAGGTAAGAACTTTCTCAATGAAACCCCAGCAGCACAGCAACTAAGAGATAGCATAGATAAATGGGACCTCATAAAACTAAAAAGCTTCTGTTCATCAAAAGAAGTGGTCTCTAAACTGAAGAGAACACCCACAGAGTGGGAGAAAATATCTGCCAACTATACATCAGACAAAGGACTGATAACCAGAATATACAGGGAACTTAAAAAACTAAATTCTCCCAAAACTAATGAACCAATAAAGAAATGGGCACGTGAACTAAACAGAACTTTCTCAAAAGAAGAAATTCAAATGACCAGAAAACACATGAAAAACTGCTCACCATCTCTAGCAATAAAGGAAATGCAAATTAAAACCACGCTAAGATTCCACCTCACCCCTGTTAGAATAGCCATCATCAGCAACACCACCAACAGGTGTTGGCGAGGATGCGGGGAAAAAGGAACCCTCTTACACTGTTGGTGGGAATGTAAACTAGTACAACCACTCTGGAAAAAAATTTGGAGGCTACTTAAAAAGCTAGACATCGATCTACCATTTGATCCAGTAATACCACTCTTGGGGATATACCCAAAAGACTGTGACACAGGTTACTCCAGAGGCACCTGCACACCCTTGTTTATTGCGGCACTATTCACAATACCCAAGTTATGGAAACAGCCAAGATGCCCCACCACTGACGAATGGATTAAGAAAATGTGGTATCTATACACAATGGAATTCTATGCAGCCATGAAGAAGAACGAAATGTTATCATTCACTGGTAAATGGATGGAATTGGAGAACATCATTCTGAGTGAGGTTAGCCTGGCCCAAAAGACCAAAAATCTATGTTCTCCCTCATATGTGGACATTAGATCAAGGGCAAACACAACAAGGGGATTGGACTATGAGCACATGATAAAAGCAAGAGCACACAAGGGAGGGGTGAGGATAGGCAAGACACCTAAAAAACTAGCTAGCATTTGTTGCCCTTAACGCAGAGAAACTAAAGCAGATACCTTAAAGCAACTGAGGCCAATAGGAAAAGGGGAACAGGTACTAGAGAAAAGGTGAGATCAAAAAGAATTAACCTAGAAGGTAACACACACGCACAGGAAATCAATGTGAGTCAACTTCCTGTATAGCTATCCTTATCTCAACCAGCAAAAACCCTTGTTCCTTCTTATTATTGCTTATACTCTCTCTACAACAAAATTAGAAATAAGGGCAAAATAGTTTCTGCTGGGTATTGAGGGGGGGAAGAGGGAGGGGGTGGAGTGGGTGGTAAGGGAGGGGGTGGGGGCAGGGGGGAGAAATGAACCAAGGCTTGTATGCACATATGAATAATAAAAGAACAATGAAAAAAAAAAAAACTGGCATGATTTCCCACTAGTATAAATAACTAAAGTATTCCTGAACATCTGAGGACCAAGTCAAGACAGCAGTTATCATGGACCCAAAAAAGAACAATCCAAGAAAATGCTTAAATCAGTATCCCAAGCCTATGACACATACCTTTCTCTTGCACTGATGCTTCTGACAGTCACGCATCTTAACACACTTAGTTTCACACAGATAAGATTTATGACACGGCATTCGTTTTGTATGTTTTCCACAGCGACAATGCTTTTCCACTTCCTGGAATAAGCAAAGGAGTGGTATTAAATTAAAACTGACTTTTGAACAAAAAAAAAAAAAAAACTGACTTTTGTTAGTTTTTTCCCCATACTACAATTTCTAAATTTTAACAGAAATTTTATAAAAACTTAAAACCAAAGCTGAATATCCTAAAATGCTTTTTATATTTTACTTTGTTCGAAAAAGAATTTCCTATGAATTTGTTATTAAATTTAGTAGAAATTCGCTACTTGTTTTAAAAAAAAAAAAAACACATATTAAAACCACTTACATGCAGTTACAACCATAACATCTGTACATCTTGTCTTGGCATAGCAAAAAAACTGGATTACCTAGTAACCTGACTGGGTAACTTGGTAGTCAAAACCAAGCGACATACGAAACTTTAAAGTCTCAAATCTAGGCATTCCTTTCTTTCCACCATCACTGGGCCTAATTTGACATGTCTCAATGTCTTCTGGGAACAAACAACCCCACGTTGGACTAAGTAAAATGAGAACATTAAAACTTTTCCAAGCACAAACAAAAGGTAATTTTTAGGTTTGATTGCTAGCATATTTTCCTGCTTCTTACCATAAATCACAACACATACAGATGATGACAAGATGTACATGAAAGTAACTAACAGAAAACAACCACAAGACAATCTCATTTGACATATTATATACAGTTCTTAAAAGTAATTGATATAGGACACAACTAACTTGTCTACATGTTTCACAAGGCCCTCGGTGACAACGCTGTGAACATCTATGGATTCCACATTCGAGTACTTTGTCACAGCTGTCTCCACAAGTTGGTACATCTTCTGTACAAGGTAAAGAAAACTCTAAAAGTAGACAGAATGCTAATGTTAATAAGATAAACGGTTACCAAGCACTAATAAAGTATCAAGTTCTTTAAGCTACCCTGAAGAATGATGACCTTTCAGATTATGAATTTTTTTATCCATACAATTATTGGATAAAATTAACTTTAATGAAAATAATCCTTAAAATTTGCAAAGCTTACGCTTTTTTTTGAGACTGGGTGTCAATATGTAGCCCAAGGCTGTCCTTGAACTTATGATCCTCCTTTTCTCTGCCTCAAGTGCTGAGATTATAGGCATGAACCACCACACCCAGCAAACTCATGCTTTTAAAAAAGAAATTTGACATATGACAAGTCACTATTCTCAAGAAACATTTTTATGGGCTAACTACTTCAAAAATAGTTACCTAAAGAAATGACTAAGACTACAGAAATTTCTATGAGAAATTTCCACAATACATAGAAATTTTTGGAAAATTTGCTCTTAATCTCATAGAATGGAAAAGACGCTGACTTTAAAACACTATAAAACTCACCTTTAACAAATATATAACAATCTTATGAGTGCCATTACTAATGGAGAGTCAAGGAAGCTGACTCAAACTGCAATCCAACAATGCCTTTATTTCAAAAGAGCCAAAAATAAGTTCATCTGTAACTTAATCCGCAATAATGGCAACAGTCCAGCTGCCCCATTATTAATATATCCCACCAGAATGGTGGCATAGAATGGTACACTTATTACAATTGACAAACTTACAATGATACATCATAATCTCTCAAAGATCATAGTTTACCTTAGGGTTCACTCTTTCTGGTATATTTTATGGGTATGGGTAAATGTACAATAACACATATCCATCACAACAGTATCATACACAGGGGTTTCACACCCCAGATCCTCTGTGCTCTACTCATTCATCTCTCCCTCTCCCCACCCCTTATCAACCACTGATTTTTTTCACTGTCTCCATACTTTCACTCTTCCAAAATTCATATAGCCAGAGTACTACAGTATAAAGCTTTTCACAGAGCAGCCTGATTAATTTAGTAATATGTATTTAAGATTCCTCCACGCCTTTTCATGGCTCAATAGCTGATTTTCCTTAAAACAGACTCACTTGATTTCTGACATGGACAGAACCTCTTCCCAGATCGAGGACATTCTCCACAAGCACCAACATGGCACACTTGTTCACATGTATGATTGCCACATGGCAGTGTTTTTCCACATACCTAAAATATAGTATTACTAGTGTAAAGGATTTAAAGTTAACAAAACTCTGTACAGAACATAATCCATTTTCAATCATGTAAACAACTTCATGTCCTTCACATATTGTAACACAGATGTCATACACACACATATATATACATATGTATATACACATGCATTTCCTATGCACCAAATAATGTATTTTTAAAATATAACAAAGGAAAAAGTACACACATTTTCATATGTCCACCACCAAAGATTTCCAAACAATACTAAAACCATGCTAATTCTAAGACAAACACCTGCAAAGGAAGGGGATGCTAGTTGAAGAGAAGGGAAACAGAAGTAGGGAAAAGAAAAAGAGAGTAAAAATTATACAGACTTCAAGTTCAACAAGTAGTCATTACTTTGAAGTAATTTTTTCCTCTAGTATTTAAAACATTAAATTAAAAAGAAACTTCTTAATATATGTTACAGTTCATCTGAGTTGGTATTCGTTCTTATTTTATTCAACTAAACTTAATTAGCATTTCTGCTTCCCAGCAGGTAGGTCCTGAATATTCTTTAATACCTGCCCCTCAAAATGCATATGTACACTTACTTGATCACAGTGCCACAGTGGACTTGCACAACTTCTTTCAGCCACTTTTCTGCCACAGACACATTTTTGTCGACTAACTCTTGGACAGGGCTGACAATTTCCTAAAATCACAATGATAAATTAGCACACAAACATAAAAGCAACCAAGACTGCTTTGCCTTTTGTTTAAAGAAAATAGCTAAGAGGTATAACAAGTACCTGCGTGACAAGGATTTTCACACTTATGTTGCCCACAAAGCAACTTCCGTCCACATGGCAGCTGACAGGACCATTCCTTAGCACTGCACCTACGAGGGATAGCTTTTGCTTTCTTACAGTAACAAGTAGTTGTGACCATCTTTGGACAAGGAGGGCAGGGACCTAGAATCCAATAAAAGGAAAAAAAAAAAAAAAACCAGAAGTCAGAAATTAAACTTTCAATTCCTACACCTGCCAGTAATTTCTACAACTTTCTTTACTGACACTGTAAGACGTATCAATATTCTCTCACAGAGAAATTAAGTTCTCAATTCAACTCTCACAATTTCTTTTGCCTCAATGTAAGAAGCAATAACCAGCCACAAGCAACTGAAAGTGCAATATGTAACTCACCCGGATGGCAAAGAAGTAAACACTTATGGCCACAAGGAGGCTTAAATTCTCTCTCACATACTTGGCCACATGAATGAGGTACAAGCCATGGATCTAAAGGTGGATCTTCTACTTTTCCACAATAGCAATAGTATCTACTAGGTGTTTCTGATCTTTTGTATTCAAACCTACATTTTGGACTACAAAGAAGAATGAGATTATTAAAGTTAATTTCATCTTTAAAAAAGCAACATAAGAGACAGGAACAGTAACACATTATAGTCTATTCAATTAGTTTTTTGTTAAGAAACTCTTAGCAGTCATTATATTAGTTTAAAAAAATAAGAATTTACTAAAATTTAACCGTCTAGAACATCTCTGTATAATATAATTTCCTGAGAAGATGGAACTGTTTTTTACCTTATTATTAAAGTATACAACAGCCACTTGTGGCACTTGAGATATGGCCTATGAATATAACCCAGAGAGAATCACGGTTTTTTTAATCTTGTAAAATGCCATGTCTCATCTGTTATAAATAATTGGTATTTTGTTGAAAGAGTTCAATTGCCCTTTACTAAAGAAAAAATGTCTACTATTCCTTTTAGCTACAGTGGAGAATGTGTGCTTTTAGTAAGTGCAGATATGAATGGCTAACAGGCAACTCACCACGTGTTACACTGCCCATTTACACTGATAAGGAACTGTTTCAGTGAGGGCAACATGTGCAAACGTGAGAGTTTTATTTAAAATAACGGAATTCCAACAATAAAATGTGATGACACTATATCTTGTTCATCAACAAGCAGTACCTTAACAGAAACACATTTTAAATTTATTTCCATAAAACTAATTTAAAACAATTAACATTTTTACCAAACTCTAGCTACATCTTGAGAAATGGCTTTTCAAACAAAACAGTCACTTACTTTTATAATAGCTATTTAAAAATTGTGAAATACAGAATGCAAACTACACAGTTGATGAAATATTTGTTCCTTTTCAATTTAGGAGGAATATGTGTTATTCTCTTTACTTTCTTCTATGGCAAAATGACTACTTAAAATAGGAATGTAAAGAGCAAGGGTGAGAAAAAGCACATGTGAGGTTTCAATCTCTAAAACTAAAAGTCAGACTATCTGGTTTAATTCTGTATCTATTAAATACAAAATTAATAGATACAGAATTATCTGTTAATAATAACAGATATTTGTTGTAAAGGGATTTTTACAATAAATAATATATAGTATCAAAACAAACAGAGACTTTGAAATTTTAAAGTGTTCAAAGAATGCACGCATTCATGTGCATTCCATGAAGAAAAAACAGTATTTCTAAGAGCAATACCAGCAAACAGACCTCAGTTGGAACGGAAAAGGGACTGAATTCATATGTCAGAGATCTTAGGTTTCCAATCCTGGCTCTACCACATAATAAAAGGAGGCTTCACCCACCTTTTCCCTCAACTAACTTCAAATCCTCATTGCTAACAGGCAAATAAAATCTCTCACTGATTGCTGAAAATTATTTTTACAAAGTAACTTGCATGTTCTATATTTTTAGAAAACTACACCACCACAATATTACAAATACATCAGTATTTATGACAATAAAAAGAGGTCTGATGCAAATTCAGATTTTGTGAGGTCTGAATCTTATACAATTTGGGGATCTGTGTTAAGAAAAAGAACACAAAGTGATAAATAAAAAATTAGTGATAAAAGTTACAAGATGTAAACACACAAGCTCTTCAGCTTAGGTCTCATTACCTTGTCAGTGAATCTACCTCTCTGGGCTGCCAATATGGTTAAGACTTTTATTGTCTTTATTTAGTGGAAATATATTAATTTTCACTTTTTAACTTTTTCTCAAAATATTACAGAAAACCAAGGTCAAATAATCACCAAAACCAAGCAAAACTAACAAATGTAGAAAATTAATGATATACACTTGCAATTTTGAGATTTCAAGGATAAAACTGGAAAGCCTATAATTAAACTATATTACAGAATAATCTTGTACAATATAATACTATCATACACTAATAGGAATTCCAGAAGAGAGGTACAAAATTAGGAATGATTCTCAGTCCCACAGAAAAGAAATTAAAGTTCTTTAAAAGCACAATTAAAGAGTTGTTTTGCAGGAGAAAAATAAAGTCTGAATGATTTATTAGTTATTGACAGGAACTAGTATTTTTTCAAATTGAAGGGGGAAAAAAAGCAATTACCAAGGTCCCGTATCTTCACAAGCCAAATGACTAATTGAAAGCCAAACCTGGACACTGAAATGCCAACAAAGCAACTTTTGATCTACAACTTTCATTTATTCTGCAACTTAAAAAATTCAATGAACTACAAGAAGTTACCAAGGCCAAGGATAATCTCTCTTTCCAAAATCATCGTCCGTTAAAGAAGATACAAGAAACTGGCTGTCTTTAGCCCACTTCTGGATACAAGGCATGTGAAATATACAGAAACATCCCGAACAGCTCCAAACCTAAGATAAAGGTATCAGAAATTAACATGTATGGGATGGTTTTTCTTTGTTAATTACACAATACTGTAAAACAAGTATCATACTGAAGTACTTTCAAAAGCAACCTAAAGGACTAAAGAAAAATTCTTTCCTGCCAATATAAGAGAAGAAAAGTTCTTCACAAAAATGTCTTTAGGAATAGAACACTTTAAAGAAAAATATTATTAGATTCAATCAGCTAGAAATAACTACAGCTAATCTCTAATTGCATGTACATATTGCATGCTGCATATATACATATATATATATTTCTTCCTTTGTAAAAATGAAGTCATACTGGTACTAACTAATATGTAATTGTAGTTTCTTAACATAGTATAAGCACTTACCCTATCAAATACATTCACACAACATAAATTTTATAGCTGTATATATACTATAGATTTATGTACATAATTTAACTAACCAATTTGTTATTGTTGGACATTTATGTTGTTTCTAATTACAAAAAACACCACAAAGGAATCCTTAAATGTAAACATATGCATATATTTCTTTAAAGCCTTTTTGTTATTTAAAGCCTGCCAACATTTTGCTATAACTGACAAAGCTCAATTCTGCTTTCCTTGCAATATTTTACAACCATGTAAGAAAAATCAGATGTGTATGTGTATTGTATGAGCTGACAAAAACTTTTTTTTTTTTTTAAAGTTAACTTCTTAGTTTGATTTCCTCTACCCAAGTAGTACCTGAGTTAAGAACTTGGACACAGAAGTGAGGAGATAAGACAAGGAAGAAGAAAAGCCAATAAACAGTAAATTGTTGAGATTACTATAAGGGCCACAGCAGCTCAATCCTGCAAGAAGCCCTGAGAAGAACACCCTGTAAAATAGGTGCTGGAATAACCCAGCGCCACCCACTAAATGGGAGGCTAGAATATTCATCCACCAATTTCCTAGGAGGAGTGCTGTCCCAAGGCACAGTAACTCCCTGGGGCCTTTATACCTGCAGTCAGTTCTCAAGGCCAACAAAGACCCAAAGGAGGGGAAAAAAGCCACCCACACACAGAATAAGTATTTAAAGGGGAACTGAATGCAGAGATGCTCTTCATGCACTGCACCTAAAAACAAAGTGAGTCAACCAGAGGTGACTCTTGATCACCCAAGGCACCTGCATTTGCTACACTCTACTATGCAACCTGAACATGTTAATTTCTAATTCACTCTACAAAAGGAGCCTGCATCATCTGGCCTGAGTTTCTTTCTCTAGGCAACAAAGCTACAATGGCAGTGGATTAATCTGAGATCTAAAAGCTGAGTCTATCATATCCAGTCATTTAATTGCTTCATTAATGCCCCTTTAAATTTACATACAGATAACCTCAATATTAGGCTATAGCTCATCTAAGGATATGAGTTATGACTGAATCTTTCTCCCCCAAATGACCTTTGCCACTGACAATGCCTTTGACATCATTAGAAGTTAACTAATAAACCTGAAGTATAACTGACAAGTTACACTTCCTTGAAGTCAAGGACCGTATCTATCTTTTTCAAACCACTAAAAGGGGTGCCTAGCAGGCACCAGGGTCCGGGTTTGATCCCCAACACTACAAAAAATAATTAAAAACAAAAAAACAGTGAATATAATGTAAGATAGTACATTTTAACATTCCATATTTGTAGCAATCTCTAAAGTACAAATGCTAAAAATGCTTTATCAAATCAACATGTACATTAAAATTGATAATACTTGCTTCAGATAATAGAACTAAAATATTGAAAGCTCACCTGATAATTTTTTTAAACTTCAGATTTACAAAATGAAGATTCACATAAAAAAATTGTCAAATGAAGCATTTTTAAACAAAAACAAGTAAAAGGATAATAAGTGGTTACAAATTATAAATGTAAAGCAAGATTTTTGGGAAGACTTATTAACATCATTAAGAAGAAAAACTTACTGCTTGGTTTCTCTTCACTGAAGCAATACAAATTAAGCATGTCATAGCCCCTGTTTGAAAAGCTTCATTTACATACTGTTTTGTTCGCTCTAATTCACGTGTATCTCCATCTTGAAATTTAAAAAATCGAAAATCTCATGTTAAGCAACATCTGAAAATAATGTAAACTCATTTACAGCATCACATTATGTAACAAATGCCAAATAATATTAATTGCTCAAAACATAGTTACAAAATGCAAAGTTTAACAAAGGAGAAAAAAAAGTACCTAATAAACTGTCAAAAGGTTACATCAGTGAATTAAATCTTACGTATTTACTTCAAAAACACACCTTAACTCTCTCAGTGAATACTTATTTCCTTAACAAATGTGGGAGGAGCAAAACCACAGGCAAGAGCACCAAGGCACAAAGTAATAAAGGAAAACATTAAAAAATGAAGCACGAAAGAAAAAGTCAAAACTACTTTTTGTTATGTTATGATATGTTGTTACATTATGCATGGGGATGTATGTTTAGCACATAGCATATTCTTAATAAAACCTTGCTGAATGAAAGATTCTGTGGTCATTACAATAACCATGTTTCATTAAATTGTGTTCACTATTTCTGCTTTAAAAAAAGAGGAGCATAAGTTTTTTTTTTTTTTATTACTATTTTCTTTAAGCAAATATGGAGCCATTTATTTACTAGGCACTATACTATTAGCATTTCCATAGAATTTAGTGAGCTATTATTATCTTGATGACACAAAAATTTGAGACAAAGAACAATTAAGTAACCTCAGTGTGACTACAGAGTGAGTCCTCTTAATTCTTGTGTTGTTCTACAGGAATGGGCTATGGCTGAAAGGTCTAAGAAATATCAGGTAATAGCAAAATAAAAGAACAAATTCCTTAAATTCCAAATGGACACCAAAGGAAAGTAATTCAAGACACGTTAGTCTAAGAAAAATAAGCCTACATGCCTTCAGTACAATCAAAGTTGTTCAATACAGATTGACTGAGTCTCCAAGAAAAACAAACTTACATAAGTATAGAACTTACCAAAGCAATAACCTAGTTCAAACCAAAATTTAAAGTGCCAAAAAGAAAAAAATCAATAAATAAGACACATGGTTAATTCTTTACATTCTAAAATCATCACTTACAAAAGTGTGCCCTACCATCCTATAAATATAAATGCAATTTAGGATATTTAAAAAAATGTAAAAGCACTCTCCAAACTACATAAGATTATTAAAGACAAATGCTTTATTTTAAGTAAACATTTTTAAAATATCCTTAAGCAAAATTAGCAATTATGTTCAATATGCTGTGTTTGCTTTTCAGCACAGCTGTTTTAACAAATACCTAACATTTTAAATTTCTTCTAATTTAACAGATAATTCATATAAATTATAATTTAAAAACATGATGGAATAAGCTTTGACAAAATAAAGTCTAACTTTATCTTTACAAAACTTATGTAAGATTTCTTTGAAATTTGTATTAAGGTTTGGCTGCAGCAGTAAAGTGTACTACACAGCATGGCACAGCATTCTGAAGTCATGCATTTCAAAAAGATCACTCCAGCAACTGAAGAAAACTGCCTATGAGAAAGTCAGGACTAAAAAGAGCAGGAAGAACCATTAAAGGCAGTTATAAAGAATTAAACAAAAAGTGGCCTTAAGAGAGTTACTAATGTATCTCGGTTTTCTCATCTATCAAATAGGAATAACAATGACCTCAGTTATTACAAGGATTTAACCCACATATTGAATAAGGTCCTGAATTAGGCAAAGACACTGTGTAGGGAGAAAAGAGTAAAGTAAAGAAATTTCGGCAGGAGCATCACAAGTTTGAGGTCACCCTACAAAGTGAATTCCAGGCCAGCCTGCACTACATGGTAAGACCTTTTCTCACAAAAAATAAATAAAAAATTAAAAAAAAACAACAGAGAGAATGAATGAGAAAACCTAGGAGGCTTTGGTGACAATTAGATTGTGTTCCTTTAAAAGACAACCCCTGGGGTGGAGGAGTGGTTCGAGTGGAACAGCGCCTCCCTAGCAAGCATGAGGCCCAGTTCAAACCTCAGTACTGCAAAAAAAAAAAAAGACAACACCCATGCCATCATCTCTGTTTCCAGATTTCCAGCTTACATGGGTGACCAAGAAGGTTGTAGTGCTGAGATAAAGAAGACAAAAGAAGAGATAAGTAATTTTTCAACATAAATGTGATGCATCCATAGGCCATACAAGGTAGAGACACTCAACAGAAAGTTGACTATGTAAGTTTGAAAGTTAAGAATCACAAAACTGTAAAGACTGTGCTCAGATAAATTTGAACTCCTTGATAAGACCTATGTTCAGTTCACTAACGTAAAACAAAAGCCATTTCATTACTCTGACATTTATTGTTCTTAAATCAAGTGAACAGATTTCCTTATTTTGGTAGAGGCAAAGTTGCAGAACACAGAGGAGTGAGAATAAAATATGAATGCATTTGATATGAAAAAAGTAGCTTAACATTTAATAATGAAAAGTATATTAAAGATGAGTAAGACAGGCAAATGATGTTTTCTCTACACATTTGAAAGATTCACTGAGTTACGTTACCTATTCCTGTTTAAAAACAAAGTCTGCCTCTATCCAGATGGTTTAAGTGAGGTCCAAAAGTGCTTAAGATTACTTTCTCTGAATTTGTCTACAAACAAGAAACCCCCTAACCTTAAAATTACTTTCATCAACTTTTACCTTGCTGAGCTTGACTATTAGCTATACTTCCTTGACTTAATTCCTTAGCAGATATGGCAAATTTCCCAGAACCCTACTTGACAACGTATATGCAGAATACACAGGCCAACTACCTAATCACAAAAGGTGGTGAGATGGGAAGAGGAAGGGGTGAACTAGATGAATTGTTCTGTCTGCCCTAAGATTAACTCTCCTGTGCTTGAACTGCCTTTATTCCGACAAGTACTCCAACTCTGCTGTACTTTTTTTTCTGTTGTACTGACAGTTATAAATTCTGACATTAATGGCCTTACTCAAGAAAGCACAATATAATATGAAAATAGCATAATGAAACTCACTAAAAACCTATTTTAAAAGGGAGAAGAGGGAGGAGGGTTAAGAAAGAGTAATAGAAAGGGTGAATTTGATCAAAGGACATTATACACACGTGAGCATATCCCAATGAATCACTTTGTACAATTAATTTACACTAATAAAAAAAGCACAATATAATAACTAAGGATGCAGCAACAGGGAGTAGAAGAGATGTGATCTTATAATGTTGAACTTTATAACCAAGGGAAGACAAGATAAAAAACAAACAAATTTTTAAAAGGTAAGGAAAGAGAATAAGCTATGATAGAAAAATCTCTGATCATCAACCTCACAAAATGTATTACATTACAGCCAACAGCTATATACTACACGACAGGCATTACTGACTTATTTCATCCTAACCACCCAAAGGTATTTCTTTACCACTAAATCCATTTTACAAGAGAAGAAACAGAGTACCTGAAGTGTTAATTATTATGTCACACATTATATAGACAAAAGCAGGGACAAGACTCAAATTTTGGCAGTTTGGCTAGAGAGTCAATGTTTTTAAATACTTTCCCCATAATAGGTACAAGTGCAGAAGTCTAATCTACCTCAGAATTTTTCTGCTTCTACACAGAAAATACAATCAATAATCCCAGTAATAGCAAAAGCGAAGTAAACTAGGCTCAAAGCCAGCTCTGTCATTTAGTAACTATACAGCTCAAGGAGAGTTGCTTCAACTATGAAGAGTTGTTTCCTAGAAAATTTCTACTGTTTCTTAAAGCTCTAACTGGATCCGAAAGTACCAAAAAGAACTGAGTAAGATTATATACATGTATTACCAGCATAAGGGTACATAAACAGCATGAGACATATCTATAAAATGTTGATAATACATGCAAGAATGTTCAAATGACTTTAAGTATAAAATGTGGAAAAAAGTGTAAGAACACCTGTATTTATCTTTAAAATAATCTATTTCTACAACATAATACTAAGTCACACACAGCAGCATCACTTGGTCCTCTAGCACACAAACAAGTGTGGCTTTAAGAACAAACCAGCTGGGCGATGGTGGGGTGGCCCATGCCTGTAATCCTAGCTACTCAGGAAGCTGAAATCAGGAGGATTGCAGTTTGAGGCCAGCCCAAGCAAACAGTTCTCAAGACCCTACCTCAAAAAAAAAAACCATTACAAAAAAGAGCTGGCTCAAGGTGTAGGCCCTGAGTTCAAACCCCTGTACAGCAAAAAAAAAAAAAAAAAAAAAAAAAACCAACCCCAGATACACACAACAGATAATATTAATAGTCTATGGCTATACCACACTGAATGCGCCCAATCTCCTCAAATATGAATATACATCAGACTTTAAGAAATTTAGGGTTTTTAAGTATGAACATCAAATGGGAATAAGATATAATATCAAACTAATGAAGTCAAGAAATGAAATAGACTTCGAAATACCTTTAACATGATGAAAAAGAGATATAAATGAAGAACAGATTGAACGAGATATCCCAAGTCCTCTAGCCCAATCAAACCACAACCCAGGACAACTTGTCCTACCTCTCAGGGAGCTGTGATAGCAGCCTTCCAGCATTCTATTGGAATGTCAATGAAAATCACAGGAAAAATCCTAGGGCTGTGAAAGAGCCACCACCGTATTTGCTTTATAGAAAAATTGGTATTAACACCACGTAATTCAAATAGCAAAATGCATAAAAACTCAACTTTACAAGATGCTCATTCTTAGGAGGCAAAAACTATTCCATATAGTATAAAAGTGATGCCAAAGAATGTCAGGAATAAGCTTACATTGAAAAAAAGATAAAATGTAAAAGACCAATACCTGTCTGAGTAGCGTACGTTATAAATGTATTAGCAACTATTTTTCCCTGTTTTCCTTCAAAATCTTCATCTCCTTCTTCTTCAGATGAAGAGCTAAAGTGTTCTTCAACAAGTTTTTTGGCTGCAGCTTGATTAGCCTTCTTTATTTCCTCAAATTTTCTTTGAGACAGTAGTTCTGTTAAAAGAAAAAAAAAATGGTTTCATTTCTGCAAATCTGTATCCTTAAAAAGTTATGATACTAATATCTTTTTTTTTCCAAGCCAATGAGACTGCATCTTGTTTGGGCTTTTTTTGCCTACGATATCATTTTTAAACATGCATTTGAAAGCCACCTTTGGAGCATTCTACCTTACTATAATCCTTAGAAAATGTTTTTGTTTTTCTCAAATTTCTTGATAGGCTAAAGAAAACACAAAAAAAAGTTCCAATTTTGTAAATATGCTACTAAAAGCTATAAAACATTATAGGAAGTAACTAACAAATCAAGGGAAAAATGATAAAGATATAACAAAAATATCAAAAACCTGATGATCAACCTCAAAATAAAAACATCAATGAAAAACTAAAATGGGATGTTTTACAATATATTGTACGCAGTGATTTTTAAGAGGTGGAGATGTGACTCTGAGAGCACATCAGAGTCAGAGAGAGGAGTGCTTCTTCAAACCACTCTCTTCTGAACCACAGCCCAGCCCAACCCAAGGCACCAAAGAGTTTGCAGATAGTATTCACCATGTGCCTACTATATTTAAGTGCCTCTTAGAAAGTTCAAGAACTCCCATCCTTCAATGTGGACATGCTGGTGGTCATGAAAAACAAACATACTGAACATTAGTCCACACAAAATGTTAACACGGAAAAAGTGCTTGTTACAACTTTTTCCAAAAAAAGAATGTTAAATTTTAAGTTTGGAGTGGTCCTTCTTCTACTCTACAAAAAGAGTATTAAAATTACTCTGCATTTGTTCTACTACTATTCTCCTTAACACTGTCTGTACTTCTTTTGTTTCTTGATTAAACAGCAACGTGAAACAGAACTAGATTACTTCATAAAACATATTCCCAATGAGACTTCAAACTTCTTGAGAACAAGAATCCTGGAAATTTCCTTCAAGTATTAAGTGTTAATAAGCTCTTACGGACCACGGCCATATTTTAAGAACACAAACTGGCAGAAATGATCTGAATTCATTAGTGCCTATTTGAGAGGATTTTAAACTTATTCATTTAAATTAGTAATTTAAAACTCTCTTTATTTCCCTCATGAAATGTTTTCCTTTTCTTACCACAGCCAGTTTGGTTGGTAATTATCAACCCAAGCTGACTCTTTCAAGTAAAACTGGAAGAAAATGTATATAATGCTCACCTAAACAACATTGGGTACTGGGAAAAAAAGTAATGGCTGTAAGATATACAACTGAAAATAAGATGACAAATATCATTACTCCATGGGAAATTAGCACATAAACATATGACCTTAAAAAAAAAGACTGAATTGGACAGATACAATAAAAAACACGTGTACCTTGATAAATGTATTTACTTACCACCCTTTCAAGGAGTTACAGAGTATGTCTGTAACTTACCTTCCCAGGTATTCTTTCTTACAGTTAAATCTCCAGTATCCCGTTAGCGAATGCTTGCTTTCCTTCCACGCAAAAAATACAAGAAAGCTTACCAAAATCGTTTTAGGCCTACTAACTGAACACTTCCCCACCACCATCATGAAAATTCAATAAACACAACCTCACTGAATGCGACCTTACTTCAGGAGAAAACTCATCAGAAGCTCAATTCTGGTCCCTATCCCACAAAAAGGTACTCTGAAAAATACATTCCAAACAAAAACATAAAATGACTCCAAGGATTATTCTCTCTTCTCCATGCACAAGTGTGTGTTAAGTGCTGTCAGGCTCCACTAAAACATGGTCTTGGATGACCGGAACTGCTAAATCCAACACCAGATATAACTATGAACAGATCAGACGTTTGTCAACAGACACCACAAAAGTACCACCTGCTAAAGTGCTTACAGGGTATGAACAAGTAAAGGACGGCAATCTGGAAAAGATGGCCAATAACAACCGGTCCCAGAAGTAGGAGAGACCATGTAAGATGGCGTGCCCACTCCCTATCCAAACGGTATTTCTGCGACCACAGCCCAGCTATTGCCATACACAAGGCTGCTGAAGCTACCAACTCTTATTTTATCATTCAAAAAAAAAAAAAAGTTGTTAAGCAGATGTTTAAAAATGAGCACACGCTGGCAACCCATTCAGATTTCAAGCACCGTGTTACTCAAACCACACTACGAACTCAATGAGACCAGCGGTACACAATTTACAATTTCCAACTTACACTCTATGGACTCAGGTAAGCAAAGAGTGATGGGAAGAGAAGTAACCAAAGAAACGCCTATTAAAACGACAATGACTTGTGTGATGGAAATCTGCCTGCAAGGTTTAGAAGCAGGCCCTCTAAATACTAAGCAGGGAAGACAGTGAAGCGGGAGGGCGGAAGAGCCCACTAGGACGGTGCCCCGGGACCCGCACCGGCGACCGCGCGCTCACCGCTGGCCCCGGCCGAGGGCGTCTGCGGCGCTGCGGCTCCCGCCCGGCCATGCCCTCCGCCTGCAGCCGCGGGGGTCGCGCCTCCTCCGGCTCCGGCGCCGGCGCCCCCCGAGCCCTTGCCTCTCCCTCCTCCCGCGCCGCGGAGAGGGACCCCATTTCCTGAGGACGGGGCCCGTCCTCGGGCACGGCCTCGGCCACCGGCCACCTGGCGCCAGGAAGGTTCCATCCCTGCAGAGGAAAAAGAAAGAAGTGAGGAGCGTGAGCACCGCGCGCGCACGGAGACGAAGGTCGGGTATCGGGGAACGCAGGGTGGGAGGACGAAGTGCCGAGCGTGCCTGAGAGCCGGGAGGACTTGGAGCACGTCGGCGGCCCGCTCTTTCCCAGAGGCTAAGTCCCTGCTAACGCCAGACTCTGGAGACAGACCGAGAGGACTAGGTAAAGAGATGGACCGCGGGGCAGAGAAGAGTCGGGGAGATGGGAAGCGCCTCCTCAGCCTCAGGAGAAGCGCCTCCAGGAAACAGAAAACAGCAGACTGACCCCCACGGCCCCCGCCAGGAACCCTCTGCTGGAGTGGACCCACCGAAAGCTACGTCTCCTTACCGGCGGCGTCCCCCCACACCCGCCGCAGCGACTACAATTCCCAGAATCCCCTGCCCAAAGCCGCGGAACGCGTGGCAGAGCGGGGCACTTCCTTATCCGGGTGGTTCAGTGCGTGCGCGCCAATCGCGAGTCTTTCGACCCCTTGGGAACTACAATTCCCGGCGTTCTCTCGAGTTCGAAAGGGATGCATGGCCGGAGAAGACGCGTGCTGGGGAGCTGAGCGGGCTCAGAAGACTCTTGGTCCGGCAACTGGCAGGTGCTTCCGCCTAAACCCATCTGGTTGTCCCAGTGCTTCAGGATGGCCCCAGTTTGCTTTCTCCTACCATTAGTTTAATCTTGGGGCTTGTGAGAGATGGGAAAAGTCTCACGGGAAAAGCACTTAAAATGAAAACACGTCGGAACTGGTCGCCGTGAAGAAAGAATGAAAACTAGGATAGGAGAGAGTTGCGGGAAAAATGGCTGCAGTTGAGAGAATAGATGCTCTTCTGAATTGCCTAGATCAATGTGGAAGATCTAACTCCTATTGTTAGCATAGTCTCTTATAGTTAAAACTGAGCATTCGCTGGAGCAGGCCGATTTTTACTTTTGAGACGCCTCCCTCTAGTAGATTTTATTAGGAAAATAGCTCAGAGCTAGGAATCAAATATTTTCTGCTGAGTTTTCCAATAAGATATACATATATAGAGATACATAGATTTCAATAATTCATCTTGTGGTCTGGAATCGAGAAGTTTATTGCTTGCTATTTGGGATTATGCAACTGAGGCAGGCTAGAAATAGAAAAAGATTGGAACTCTTAAACATACATGACTTGACCTGTTGCATTTCCGATTGAACATTTTCTCTCTTTCTCTCCCCTCACCATCCCCCCTTTCTCTTTCAATTGCAAAAAATTTTAACACCTGCCAAGGCTCCTTTGCTATTGCACATATGCACACAGTGATCTAGCACTCTAGCCTAGGGACCACCCACATCCCTCCCCACTCCCTGATTATTGGTGATCAGAAACTGCCCAAATCTTTCCCCTCCCACAGTTTAAAAATGCCTCGAAACAGAAAGCCCGTCCTTTTTCCCCCGCTTCCATACCTTCTGGCCCACGTAGTCAGATGGGGTCCCACCATTGCCTTTTGTAATGCCTTTCCGTATCTGTTAATAAATTCTTATTACCTCCCTTACAACATTCACGTGTCTTGCGTGCATGCTTCCACTCCGGACACAAAGAATTTGGAAATCTGATCAGAGACCACATAAGCTACAGCACAACTATTCAACTTAGCTAATTCCTTGACATTAATCAGAACTATCTAATAGTACTTATTGTCAGTTACTCTTGAAAGTGTTTTACATATGCATTAATGTGTTGGGGTTTTTTGTTGTTTTTGTTTGCTGAGTGGAAGAGGTGTGTCCCTGTTGGCCAGGCTGGTTTTTTTTTTTTCCTTCATATTTGCATACAATGTTTGGGTCATTTCCCAACCCCCACCCCCACCCCCTCGCCAGGCTGGTCTTGAACTCAATATCCTTCCTCCTCAGCCTCCTGAGTTGCTTAGATTTCAGGCCTGTGCCACCATACCTGCTGTATTAACTAATTTGGTACTCACTTCCCCATTTTACCTCAGAGGTAAAATGACTTGCCCTTGGTTGTGTTGCTACTCAACACAACCAAGCTTTACTCCTAAGTAGTCAAATTTATTAGAAATCATGTTTTAACCTTATACATATAGGTATTGTATAATTGCCTGTACATTATCCAAACTCAAATATAATGTCCTTGACAATGACGTGATAACCTTGGCTAAAAAGTAACACCGCATGTGTATAAGGATTTTTAGTTTGAAGCTGCAGCCATCTTTGAGAGTTTTAAAGTTCCAAAGTTAGAGTTTTCTACGATTTTCAGATGCTCTTATGAAAGAGAACATAGCAATTGTCACTGAGTAATATCCAGGAAATACTGAGTGGCTACTAATGAGGGAGATCCTGCTTAGAACCATGTTATATGCCAGAGAGTTAGAAGAGCATATTGTCCAAATCTGCATGCCAAATCTTCATGGTAACAAATTGGTTCCATTCCCCCAAAGATTTCATAGCTAATAGTAGTGTCCAGCATTCATTAAGTACTTTCCATTCGCTAGCCTTCTTCCAAATCTATTTTTCTTTTACTTATCTAATCTGTGCTACAGCTCATGAAGTAAATACTGTCATCATTGAAACCATTATAAAATTAGGAAATAAAGGCACAGAAAATTCTCTTATTCAACATCCTAGCAAAGCCAGGATTGCAACTGAGTAGTATGACTCCTGATCTATGCTCTTAACTGCTATATGATAGTATGACTGTAACTGTATTGAATGTTTACCTGGATCTAAAATATCCCCAAAGGTCTATGTGTTAAAGACTTGGCCCCAACTCTTAGTGATGGAACATTTAAGAAGTGGGTCCTTGCAGGAATTTTTAAGTTATTGGGGAGATACTCTCAAAGGGGATTGTGGAATCTTGACCCCCTTCTTTTTTCTCTTTTGTTTCTTAGCCTTAAGGTGAGTAGTTTTGCTGTACCACATGCTCTGCTGTGATGTACTGCCTCACCACAGGGCAATGGAGTCAGCCAGTGATGGACTGAAACCTCCAAAACAGTGATTTTTAAGGCGATTTATTTTTAAGGTATTTATTACAATAATGGAAAGCTGACCGACACACCTGGAAATTCCAGTTACCTTTAGAGCACTTAACAGGCAAGTGTTTCATATAATCAGAATTTTTTTCCCTAACATATTATACAATGAAAAATTTAGAGTAATAATAACCACTTTGGAATCCAAAATAATCTCATGAGCTTGCTGAGTAAGCAAACATATACTATTAATGTAAATTTTTGCTGTGGAGAGCCCTATATATCATAATGTGGGAGCAAATGTAAGTGAAGAACACATTTTAAAAAGCTATCATTGCCATTATGTGTACTTTGAAGTTTCAGATAATGAGAAATAAGAGTTTTTTGTGCTTATCAAACAGGAGATATAGGTAGAAGGATCAGGTCCAAGGCTAGTAAAAGTTTGAGACCCTATCTGAAAAATAAGCAAAATGGACTGGAGATGTGGCTTAAAGTGATAAAGTTCTTTTCTAGCCCTGAGTTCAAACCCCAGTACCGCCAAAAAGAACTAAGTGATAATCTCCCAAGTATTCACAAGGATGTGGAACAACTGGAACTCTCATACTTTCTTGTGAGAGTGAAAATGGGTTCAAACTCTTTCAAAAAACCTGTTTGATAGTATCTACTAAAATTCAACATGGCCTACTGCTACAGTACTATGACCAAGAAATTCCACTTCTGGATATTCCCAAAAGAAAAGAATGCATAACTACACAAAAACCCATGTTTCTAGCAGGTGTGCTAAAAAAGGAAAGAAAGGCCCCAAACTGGAAAAACTGGTCTGAGTCTGTTAACTGCTATTATAACAAAATACCTAAGACTGTACTTGAGTCTCTGATATTCTGGGTAATTAAAAATGCCTGGGTAATTTATAAAGAACAGAGGTTATTTCTTACAACTCTGAAATATGGGAAGTCCAAAATCAAGGTGCTGGCATCTGGTGAGAGCTTTTCTGCTATGTCATGACATGGCAGGAGGCCATCACAGGTTAAGAGAGCAAGCAAGGCAATCTCTCTTCTTCTTCTTATAAAACCACTAATTCCATCATGGGGGCCCCATCCTCATGACTTCATCTAACCATAATTACCTTCCAACGGCCCCTACTCAAAATACCATCAACATAGGAATTTTGAAATTAAGTTTCCAACGTCTGAACACTTGACGAACACATCAAACCATAGCACAATGCTAACATTTTCAACAGAAGAATAGAAAAGTAAACTATGATATGGTCAGATGATAAAATACTATGTCAAAAATACTACTGATCCATGCAGCAAGATGAGTGAATCTCAAAGATATCATTGTCAAACACAGTACTTACTTGTCTTTTACTTACTTAGTAAAAGACAAAAGGTTTATTAAGATCTGAGGAGAAACCAGATTATTTGTGGTTTCATTTTTATGAAGTTCTGAACAAGTGCTGGAAGCCAGATTAGTGCTTACCTATAATGCAGGTGGGAGGACTTTAACTGTGAAGGGAGATTAGGTATACTCCTGAGTGATGGAAATTGTGATCCTGATTTGAATAGTAGTTTCACTGGTGTCTACAGATGTAAAAACTCATGAAATTGTATATTTATGACTTGGGCAATTTAATATATGTGCATTACTCCTCAATTTTTAAAAATAATTTTAAGATAAGCATAGAAAGATTAAGATATCTTAATGTGCCTATTTTCCAGCCATTCAAAAATGTAGCTTAATTGCATTTGTCTATTACTGACATTTTGTCCTTTTATGAATTGCTTTTGCCAGTGCATCCATACATAACTCTTCAAATACATTTATCCTTGACAAATACATCTGCACTTAAGTAAACACTGTGCAAGTTACCAATTTGTTACCTCTGTCCTTGAATTCATATGTCAATATAGGTCCTATAATCATAAATTCCTTTAAGTAAATCCACCCAGAGCACATTGCTAGGTTTTCACAACAGAGGGTGCTAGAGAGACATCGCAGAGGGGAAAACATGCCCTTGTATATTTCTCTGCCTGCTGCACAGTAGCCTGTTTTGCTGTAATTAGTTATGTTCAGAATTGAATGATTGAAAAAATTATTGTATAATGTGAATTTCATGGAAATAAATTATAGCAAATCTGGGCTATCATTTTACTATTTATAGAAAAACCTTCATAACAGAAATAAACCATTTAATGTAATTTTTTTCATAACTTCAGATAACATCAATCAATAAGTGAGTATAATAACTAGCCAATGCTTTCAGGCACTGGACATACATGCAAATCAGAGATGGGAAGGATTCACTGTAAGTATAGGACAGGGTAAGGATTAGATCATGAAGATGCTGAAAACTGAGAAAATTAAGGTAAGACTTGAATGGGATGAAAGGAGGCATCCTGAGTGTTAGA